TGAGAAGGTATTGTTCAAGCAAAGATTGGGAGGTGAGGAAGCAAGCCATGTGAATATCTGAGCTGGTGGGCCATCCAGGCTGAGGGAATGGCTAGTGAAAAAGCCCCACGCAAGAGTGTGTCTGCCATCTGCAGGACCAGCAAAAGAGCAAGAGTGACTGGCGTGGGTGAGGGAAGAGAGGAAGAGGTCACAGGGAGCAGGAGGCCCATCCTAGAGAGCCTCATGGGCCATTGGAAAAAATCTGACTTCTAAAAGAATCATTCTGTGTTGAGTGAAGATTTCAAGGGAGGGCAGGAGTAGAAGGAGGGACCAGTTAAACAGCTACCAAAGTCCTCCAAAGGAGATTAATGGTGACTTGGACCATAGTGAAAGCAGTAAAATGGTGAGAAGGGGTAGAATCTGGACACATTTGACAGACTGGATGTGGGGTATGACAGATGCCTGGGATAAAGACTTCATTTTCCAGTCTCTCCCGATGGTAGGTAGAGTCATCTAATTCTAAGTTTTGGCTCTTGGGACATAAGCAAAAGGAGGTGGACAACTTCTTAAAGGAAGGGGCATACCCTCCGCTTTGCCTCTTACCTCTCCTTGCTGGCAACAGTCAGCTGTAATACTGGTAGCCATCTTGCACGTTGCCATCTTGGATCCCCCCAAGGGAGCCAGGGAGTGACCCAGGGAGGAGCTTTCATAGCAGTCCCAGTCTGCCCATGCGTGGCTTCTTGTGACATGAGAAAGGAAGACACTGCTGCATATCTGAGCCCTTTTACTTTAAATCTCTGCACAAGAGGTCAATGTCCACCACACCTAAGAGCATGGATGTGTGATCTTTATCTCACACGTGTCAACAGGACTTTATCTTGCACATGAAAGTCTAGGCCAACCCAAGGGAAATATTGTAATGGCAGAAATTAAACCTTTTAGAAGTTACAAAAAGGAAGTTGGAAGTGTGAATACCTTACTTCTCATAATGAACTATGTCATTCACAAAATGTTTTTTTTTTTATTTGAATAATAGTTGACATACGATGTTATATTCATCTCAGGTTTACAACATAGTGGTGTGACAATTCTATGCCTTCACAAAATACTTTTAACTACACTACTTTTTTTAATTCTTGAAACAACACTGTGAGTAGAGTATTATTCTCCACTTTATTGTGATCACCCAGTGGGTAGGGACTGTGTTTTAATCATTTTTGTATCCACATCCTCTGTGTCTTCAGTCCAGGGTCTAACATCCAAATGTGTTTAGTAGATATCTGATTAATAAATACATTTGCAGGGCACCTGGGTGGCTCAGTCAGTTGAGTGTCTGCCTTCGGCTCAGGTCATGATCCCTGGGTCCTGGGATCGAGTCCCGCATCCCACTCCCTGCTAAGTGGGGTGTCTGCTTCACCCTCTCCCTCTGCTGCTCCCCCTGCTTGTGCTCTGTCTCTCTCTCTCTCTGTCTCAAATAAATAAATAAAATCCTTTTAAAAATTAAAAAAATAGGGGCGCCGGGACAGTCGTTAAGCATCTGCCTTCAGCTCAGGTCATGATCCTAGGGTCCTGGGATCGAGGCTGGCATCGGGCTCCCTGCTGGGCTGGAAGCCTGCTTCTCCCTCCCCCACTTCCCCTGCTTGTTTTCCCTATCTCGCTGTGTCTCTATCTGTCAAATAAATAAATAAAATCTTTAAAAAAAAATTAAAAAAATAAATGCATTTGCAAATGCTTGGATATGAGAAAAATATGGTTCCCCTATTTTCAAGATATTCAAGAACATACCAAGATGTTAAGTGACTTGCTCCAGGTCATAAGAGATAAAGTCAGAAAGCTATGTCCTCTGAGGTGACACTTTGCTTCCAGATTTTACCCAAAGAAGAAAGGGGGCAGGAGCAAGATGGAGAAAGGGGATTGAGAGCTGAGGGAAAATAGAGAAAGGGAGAAGATGGGGTATAAGCAGAGACCTTACCCATTGATGGGGACATATTGCCTGAAGGGAAGGAAACAAAGGAACTAAGGATTTCCTCACTTGGATTCCTGGGGTGGCACCCAGCGATATGCTAAAGGCACATCAAAAGCTGGCCTCTCAGCTCTCTGAACCCCAGAGCTGCTCTGAGTCACTTTCCCGCTGGCAGATTCTGGACACAGATACTCTCTCTGGGTGATGGATCCTTCTACAAGTAAAGATCGTTTAAGAAAACCAGACCCACTAGCTGCTTATGTTTGCTGGGAATAGAAACGAGTATGCCTTTTTCCGTTAAATCCTTCTTGTGTGATTTAAACCCTTCCTGCTTGCACAACCTGCAAGGGAATTATTAGACCCCAAATTATTTTTTTAATCATTCTGCAGCTTTAAAGTTTGCCTGCCTTACTTATTTAGTGAGGAGGATGTGGGCAGGGCCGCATGATGTAAAGTAAGCAACAAGACCATGATATTCATCTCAGGCTGCAACCGACAGCACAGAATCTTGATGACCAGAAATCACAGAGCCCTCCTCCCTGGGCCGGTGGCCAAGGCTGGTCCCTGCTGGTCTTAGGCACACCTCGAAGGCAGGCTAGTGCCCATTTGAAGGAGGAGGTGTTTTGAACACAGACCTACAGCAGATGCTAGGGTCAAAACCAGTCCAGTGTGTATGGAGTGCGCGATAACCTCGACCAGCTGTAGCCTGAGGTAGCAAGATTTGTTAAGTACCTACCACATGCCAGACTCTGGCGAGGCGGGTCACTTCCTTTATCTTTATTTCATTTTGTTTCAGATCATTTCATCCATCCAGCAGCCCTCTGAGGTAGGGATCTTTACCCACCATTACAGATGGCGAAACGGGGACCCGGTAACAAGTACCTTTCAGATGCACCATGCTAGTAAATGCAAAGCTGCAATTTCCTCCTGTTCACTTTCTAACTCTACCGTTCACTGTCTACTCCAGCAAACATCACCTCTGCCATTCAGAGAATCCACCTAAACTCTTCAGTGAGCAGACAAAGGAGAAATAAAGACAAAATCCCTGTGGAGGGGAGCACAGGGTGGGTGTGCATCTCTCTGTACTCTCCTGGGAAGCACCTCAGTGACTCTGGGCTGCCTTCCTGAGGCCCCACAGCCAGAATGGGAAGATGTAGACCACAGGGAACCATGGGGAAGACAGCCCCTGCTCTGGGGCTAATGAGGTGTAACCACTGCACCCCAGGCACTGGAGCCATCCAAGGTCTCTGAAACCTTTTATGGCAGGTCCACTAAGCCTGCAAATCCTAGTGGCCATAGTATATTTTCAAAGGCTTAACCAGCTCAGTAAGAAGAATGCCCTGGAATCTTCACTAATTCAGTGAGGTCTGTTTCCAAGACGTGGGGGTTAGAGTCCAAGAATCTTACTGAGTATCATCTGGGCTGCTTAACAGAGGAAAATCACAGCAAGTTCAAGGTGTTGGTGACTGTGATGGAAATGGGCTCTAGTGAGCATGAAATTAAATCAAATAAAAGCATGGAAAACCTTGAAAAACCCCTTCCTGTCTTAAATGAAAACCACAGCAAATGTATATGAATAATTCCTTGATGTCCAATTTTTTTCTAACAAAGTAAATCTTTTCAAAGTGTTAGAAGAGTTAGGGACAGCATGTGGCCTTTCAAACACACCCTTACATGTAAATAATTAATGCAATATCTGTACTGTCAAAATTATTTTACCACCACGTTTAACTAAACAATTTTTTTAAAAAGGTCCTTGGTTTTCTTATGAATGTGATAGAAAATAATCCATGGCATGGAAACACACATAGATGAAACACATTGTGGAAAATCACACACGATAAGTTCTCCAGTCAGTATGAACAAAATGACGGTAATATGATATTTTTGTTGATACTTAACTATAGTGGGTCTATTTCATGATACTTTGCAGGGTTCTGAAATGGATTATGAAATTCTTATCCCATGAAATATCCTATGTCAAAGCGGGTGAAGATACATAGAAATCTGTTCAGTTTAATTCAACAAACATTAGCTGAACACATTATCAACCATACATGTACCAGGAACTCTATCAAGTATTAGAAAGAGTCAAAGTTGAACTATTTCCCACTCCCCCTACTCCAGAGCTGTTGCGGGGGGCCGGTGGGGGGGAGATGAAATTGCAGGCATCAATTTCAAGTGATATATTTTCTCAAAGCTCTGAAAACAGGATGCATCTTACAATCAACAACATGTCAAAATGTAATTGGCAGCACTTTTTCTTTTTTAATGGCACATAAAATAATGGAATAACTTACTATCCATGTAAATGAAGTTTAGATTCAATGAACTATGGTAATTATTGTGTAAGACAGAACATAGTGCTAAAACAAAGAGGTCCAAAATTTCCTTTCAAACCTAAACATACCATCCCTTCAGAACTTAAGTCCTTAATGGGTAATGGTAAATAAGGTAGGAATGATTACACAAAAGCACTTACAAATTATTTTGTTCATAATAATAAAACACTGAAAATGCACTGCTATTTTATATAACTTTAATTAATAGTAATGGATATTATATAGTTCATTTCTATTTACTTTGCTTCCTCTCTTCTGGTCACTATAAATTTTGTTTTACATACCTGCTGATAATATGCACACTAAGAGCAGTTTTGTTTTCCAGAATTTGGTCTTTCACCCAAATATTCAATTTCGTCTTGAGTGCATGGCTCACAGTTACTACTCAGTCCATGGGACATTGATTTCCCAGAAATGAAGAACAATGTGAATGCTTATTTTTTTAATAGCATTTTATTTTATTTTTAAGTAGGCTTCGTGCCCAATGTGGGGCTTGAATTCATGATCCTGAGATCAAGAGTTGCATGCTTTAGTGGCTGAGCCAGCCAGGTGCCCCTAAAACAATGTGAATGTTTATGATGAGAAACAAACAACAAACAAAACTTTGGGGGAAGATTTTTTCAATATTTTCAGCTTAGTGTATCTGACAGGTATTTCTCAATGAACAAACCTTCCCACTAGTTTTCTCCTCCTCATATCGTCCATATATCCTATGCTTCAGCCACAGAAGGTCGCTGCAAATCCCCAGCCCTGCCTTATGCTGTCCATGCCTCATTGTCTTTGCTGCTGCGTTTTTGTTTTTTTTTTTTGGCCTGGAATGCACTTTCCCTCTCTCTACACTTGGAAAGGTCTCGTTCAACTTTCAAAACCCAAGTCTAACCTCACTGTCTTATCTTAGGCTTCCCCAGGGAAGAAGGGTCTGAGACCAGGGCTTCAGACACTAATTTATTTGGGAAGTAGTCCCAAGGATTATGAAGGAGGAATGGAAAGAGCATGCCAGTAAAGGAGGGAAAGTCAATTCAAGAGTAAGTTATTGCTTTATTCCATTCTGTGAACAAAGGGGCTCCATGCTACAGGAATTTGCTCCCCATTGGTCATCCATTGTCTTGTGGGGTGTTAACACCCTTGCTTTCCCAGATTGTGCACGAATGCACTTTCTGCTGCAGAAAGTAGGAGACGTGTGGTGCTGTCAGGTTACACCTGCGTGAAGCTGGTTGCCATGGCAATCACTGGAGCAAAAGGTGACCTAGAGAGGATGAAAGGCAGAGCATAAGAGGGGCACAGAATTAGCCTTGCCCCATCAGTCCTCCATGGTGCCAGGCACAGACCTCTGCTTCACGGCCTTTGTTCTGTTGCTTCTAATGATCCATTTATATATTGAGTATGAATTTCTTTTTTTTTTTTAAGATTTTATTTTATTTGACAGAGAAAGACAAAGCGAGAGAAGGAACACAAGCAGGGGGAGTGGGAGAGGGAGAAGCAGGCTCCCGACTGAGCAGGGAGCCCGATGCGAAGCTCGATCCCAGGACCCTGGGATCATGACCCGAGCTGAAGGCAGACACTTAATGACTGAACCACCCAGGCGCCCCTTGAGTATGAATTCCTTATCAGTGGTGACAAGATCTTGTTCACATCAGAGGCTACTGAACCCAGCAGAGTCAACAGCAAGCAGCATATGGACTTAGGACCCCTCAATGTGGCAAAAACACACGTTTTAAATGAATGGGAAATGTTATGGCAGCCAGTCTATTTCTCAAGTAGTCGATATGACTGTTCAAATGAGAAGTTAGGATGCAGTGTGAAAAAAGGAGAAATATGTCAGGTGAATTCAACACAAAAACCAGAGTAGACAAAGATGTACTCATCCACCATACTGGGGAAAAGGAATTATTTTAACAAAAGTATCAGTTCTCTTTTGTGGGATTTTTTTCCTCAGGAAACCTGACAAAAAGAAACATCATATGGGTCATGTTATCAACCACTCGGTATATAATCCTAAATAAGTTTCAGTGAACTCGTATTGCTAATATCTACCTTTAATCTCAACGGATTCCCGGCAATGACTCCCTGATTCACTCAGAATGAAAACTAAAGTCCTTACAATGACACCTCAAGCTCTACAAACTGTGGTCCTGTTACCTGTCTGGCCTCCTCCCCTCCTGCTCTCCCTCTGCTCACCTTCCTCCACCGTGCTGGCCACCAACAGACACACTCCCACCCAGAGCCTTTACACTGGTTGTTTCTTCCACCTGAACACTTTCTCCTGACATCAGCTTGGCAACTCCCTCAGCTTGGCAAGACTCTGCTCAAATGCCACCTTCCCAACAAGTCCTATGCTGAGCCCCCTTTTTAAAACCTGCACCCCTCCACCACTCTGAATTCTCGGGATCCATATCCTGCTCTATAGTAGGTACTCAGTAAACACTTATTGAACTGAACGAAATGTCTTGAAGCTTTGAGATAATATGCTTCCTAATATAGAGGACATATTGTTCATCCAAACATTGGTTAAGGCATCTACTACGTGCTAGATGTGGATAACATGGACATGATCCCTGTCCTCAAGGAGGTCCCAGGCTAGTGTGGAGGCAATTACCGGCCAGTGTTGGGCTCTCTGACATAAGCATGCACTGTGGCTCTAGGGTTGCAGAGAAGGGGGTTTGTGCGAATGGGCAGGAAGATAAGCAAGGGCACAATGCTGAAGCTGACTTTTCACATAGAAAGGGAGCTACCTAGACAACAAAGGGAAGGACACTGGGCAGGATTTTGTGCATACATACTCGATCATGTGTGAGCTCTAGAACTGAGAGTCAGCGCAGGTTTACATTTCGTCTTACACAGCCCTTCAGAATCAATACAGACTGAATTTTTCCCTCAAGTTGGAGACTTGTCTTCTGCCTCCCCTGAATCCCCTCCAAAACAATAAAGAGGCAGGCAAAAAAACATCATACATCTCTCCTTCACTAATGAGAAGGGACTTTGGGACTCTATTTAGGTTTGTAATTGTTCCTTTCTCTATTGGGTTGTGTATTTTTTGTCAGGATCATAATGCAACTGTTATATACATGTGTGTATATTTATATTTATATTTATATAGTTATCATTTAAAATATCCATTGATTATGTGTTTATAAAGTAAGTTTTCTATACTCAATTAAAAAAAAACTGGCTTTATTTTTTTCTAGTTGATCCACTCATTCCTTCGACGAACAATTATTTTTTTTTATAAATTTTTTTTTTAAGATTTTATTTATTTATTTGAGACAGAATGAGAGAGAGAGAGCGAGAGCACATGAGGGGGGAGGGTCAGAGGAAGAAGCAGGCTCGCTGCCGAGCAGGGAGCCCGATGTGGGACTCGATCCAGGGACTCCAGGATCATGACCTGAGCCGAAGGCAGTCACTTAACCAACTGAGCCACCCAGGCGCCCTCGACGAACAATTATTAAGTGATTATAATGTACCAGGCATTGTAGCTAGATGCTGTGGATACACAGAGGAACAGAAACACGTTCCCTGCCCTGAAGAAGACTTCAGTAGTGCCGTAGGCAGAACTGTGAAAAACTAAGAACATGGAAGTGTTACATGTAGTAGGAGAGAAGGATTTAGGGCAATAGTCCCGAACTGCAGGTCAGATGTAGCCCACATAATTGTGTGTTCAGTTCAACAGTGTTTGTTCGTTTTTTTAAAGATTTTATTTATTTATTCATGAGAGACAGAGAGAGAGAGAGACGCAGAGGGAGAAGCAAGCTTCCCGCGGAGCGGGGAGCCTGATGCGGGACTCGATCCCAGGACCCTGGGATCATGACTTGAGCCAAGGCAGACGCTTAACCATCTGAGCCACCCAGGCGCCCTCAACAGTGTTTTTTAAAACTTTGAATGGTTTTTTACAAATTAATCCTGATTTCTGGCTTGTCTTAAAAGAAAAATCAAAAGACCTGGCCACTCTGAGCCTGAGATCCAAATTGGCAACAGTTGACCACAGCTGAGTCAGAACCAGCCCTTTCAGAGGGAACAAGAGGAGGGGAAAGGAGCACGGAAGGCAGAGCGCCTCTAAACGTGGAGGGGCCTGGAACATGGGAAGTGTTGCACATTCCAAGCACAAGGAATATTTTATTTATGGCCCATACTTCACTAAGCAGCCAACCATATACAAACCCATGCAAACGTCGACAATTCCATCCCCGTTTTGCCCGTGACAGTGTTCAGAAATGTCTGCGACATGAACAAGAACATGATCAAAGAATTTTACCTCTGGAGGAGATTATTTCATAGGTCATTTTCCAAGTGAAGAAGCGGCCATCTACAGGGGTTGAGTAATGTGCCTGGTGCAGTGCTAACAGGAGCCCGTAGCTGTTAATGGATTATACTAAAGGCCTGGGGGAACAGAGAGAAATGGCAACATAGAACAGTACAACGGGGCATCTGTTGTTTTCCTCACCCAGCATCCATTCTTCCTCCCTCTGGAAACAGTACCCTTATTTTGCTCTGGGGAGCCATCACATCTCCATCTTCCACGTGGTGCTGGTGGAACTGAGTCCACCTGGCTTCTTGGATGGCATGTGACCCAAGCCCGGCCACCAACACCCATCCTCCTGGAGCTCTTGAGAAAGAGGCCTAATCCTTCCACTGGGGGTTGCCGAGAAGCAATGCAATTCTGAATGATGCTATTAGAACCTAAGCTAAGACAGCATGATGTAAGGAAAACAACGATCAGCTACAGTTCCTTGGGTAAATCGCTTAACTGTTCTGAACCTCAGTTACCACATCTGTAAGTGAAAATAACAATCCCTTACCTCAAAGGGCTGTAAAGAAATAGTCTGTAAAATGCCTGGCACACAGTAGGAGCTCATTAATGTTGGCATCTTTTCTTTCCCTTCCGCATAATGTCAGATGGATGTAGCATTACTGTAATTAAAATGTAAGAAGTGCATTGGCAGACATTCCTTACAACATATTGAGAACAGCTTTTTCAGTAGCTACTTTATGTGATTTCAGGGAACTGGGGAGGGAAAATAAAATAAAATGCAGCTTGTTCTCCTGGAACAATTCAAGCCACAGCCAAGGCGTGCCAAGTGTAGCCCCTAAGTCTATGTCTGCATTCATCTATTATCTCACCTCTGCATAGATAAAAGTGGTTTTCCTCCCCACTCGCTGGCCATTTTATTTTTAAAATGGGAACTCTTGAATCCCCGGCAATCATTTAGCTGACAGTTTGGATCATAATGTAACAATAACATTAGTGAGCAGTTGTGTGACAGTTCCTGCTTTTAAAGCACTTTACAAATCTGAGCTAATTAGCATGAACGCTAACATGCCAGCTTTTTATGGATTAATACTGCAATTATACTTTGCTTTTTCAATAAAAATGCAGTGATCTTTTTTCACCAGAAATAGGGAGAAATGAAATGAATAAACTGCCTCTCCAGTGGATTCATACACAGTGCAGTTAAAATGTGAGTCAGACACTTTCTTGACTGAATGTTCCTCTATCAACATTCGTGAGGATTTACAGGTATGGCACCTCTTGCAAATTCTGTTTTAGGATCAATGAAGGAAATAAAGTGTATTAATGGGGGACCGAGAAGGAATTTGTAAACCCAAGATAAGTTTCCAACCTTTGAAATACACTTTCTACTTATTTCTAGATTTAAGCACCTCAAAGAGATCAGAAAATTATCTGATTATGATTTACTCTTACACCAAATGAGAAAAATACCAATTCATGTAGTATTGCGAAAGACCCTATTCCTTTTGTTGTGAATTAAAATATAATAGAGTAAGTATAGAGGAATAAAGACTTGGGTTGGAATTGCACTTCTAGTACTCAGCTATCTAACTGTAACTTTCTGAATTTTGGTTTCCTTACCTCTAAAATGTGGGATGGGGTGGGTTGCTAATACTTACTTTGCATGATTCTTGGGAGGTCCAAAAGGGATTCTACCTTATATAATATCCAGGATATGACAGGTGCTCATATTAGCCCTGACCCATCCTCTCTGTTTGTAATTCATCTTCCTCCCTTTCTGCTCTAAAATTATTCTGACATTCATTCAGTTTGTTTATGGAAAGCAGAGCACCATCATGAATTAAAATTTTTGTTAGGTATTATAAATAACTAAATTTAAAGGGACTAGGAATTTATGAAAGTTCATTTTGGTGGGAAAAAATCTAAACATATGATCACTTGAAAACTCCTTTGAACATACTATGAGTCTACGGCCATACCACCCTGAACGCACTTGATCTCGTCTGAACATACTATGAAATTGTATAGATATCTCAGTTAAATTTCGTCATTTTGTCCTCTGTTCTTTGTATAATTTAGCAAAAAGTCATGTGAGGAGGTATAACACTGGAAAGGCTGCCTGAGACAGAAGCCTGTATGAGCACACTTAAATTGTTTCATTCATTCATCAGTTCAATATTTATTGAGCACCTCTGACGTGTCAGACACCATGCTGAATGTTGCTGGAATGAGGACTAGTATAAGGACTACCAGACAGAGCCTTTGTCCTTAAAGAATTCACAGTCTCACGGTGGAGGCAGACAAGTGAATGAACAGTTGCAATAATGTGAGCAATAAATGCTAGCATATGCTACTCAAGGCCAATATCTAATTTCTTGAGAAGTCATAAATTCTTTGAGAGAAATGGTGTTTATCCTGCCAACATGATTTGTAGAGGGTGAGCACTCAGTACGGGCAAAAGACCCAGATTCTGGTCCCAGTTCTTTGACTAGCTATATATCCTTTGATAGTCATTTCAGTTTTCTGAGCCTCAGTTTCCTCATCTGTAAAGTGTGACTGATGATAACAGTCCTCACTGGGTTATTGTAAAGATCAAAGGTCATGAGAGTGAATTTTTAATTAATTGCAAAGATCTCCTGAAGTAAGTCACATACTTAAATGTTTTTTGAATTTTAAAATAGAACTTGTTTAGTACTTCACATAATCGCTGAATGATCCTTTTCCTTCCTTAAAACATGAAGGAAGGAAGGAAGGAAGGAAGAGAGAAAGAAAGAAAGAAAAAGAAAAGAAAGAAAAGAAAGCAAAGAAAGAAAGAGAAAAGAAAACCAGCCACCTTTCAGTCCAAAGCAGGTCTGGCTTTGATCTTTTCAGCACTCCAGGTAGAGATTTACCATTATCCCCATTTTATCAATGAGAGAAGTGAAGAGCCAAGAATCTGTCCAAGAGCACGATCTCGTCAAAGCCCAAGCCCGGGAAACTTCCCAAGGTCTTTACCAAGCCTCAGAAGACCGCTGTGATCTTTTCTCGGAAAGCCCCGCCTCCCCCTCGCGGAAGGGGCTGTACTAGGCTTCAACTCCGCCCCGTGACTCATGCGACCCCGCCCCCAAGTCTTCCACCTCTCGCGGGATCTCTCGGGAGGACGGATGGGATTAGGTCCCATCATGGCGGCTGAAGAAGCGGATGTGGATATCGAAGGGGACGTGGTGCCAGCCGCCGCACAGCCAGGGTGAGGCGTAGAGACCGAGTCTCACAGGGATGGGGAGGAGTGCGGGTGCGAGGAAAGTACCTTGGAAAGGCTGCGGGTTCAGCAAGGAACAGGGGAGAGGCAGCACATCCGCTGGGCCAGGGTCTCCTGGTGGCCGGGGAGGTGCCGCGCCCATCCTGTTGTAAGCTACTCCCGAGCCCAGGGGGCGTAGGTACCCGAGGCTGGTGTCGGATGGCTGTTTCACCTTTTACCAGGATGTTCTGAGAGCGCCGACTTCGCCGAGCACATTGCACTCTATCCAACAATTAGATTCCTTCTTCGATAATCTCAACCCCAGAATCCCCCTCCCCTTTGCCCCCTCCGGACAGTAACTGGAACAAGAGCGGCCTCCGAACGGACCTGAGCTCAGGGATCCTTGTTCCATCGCTTGTAAGCCGTGTGACCTTGGGCGTGTCGTTTCATCCCTACTGACAGGTTTCTTATTCCACATGGGGTTAGTTGTGAAAAACTTCCTGAGAGTCAGCTTGACTTAAAGGAGAGGGACAGGACTTTAGAGTTGGACAGCTCTGGGTTCTCCAGCATTGGCCGGCCTTGTCCGTTACTAGCAGTGTGACCTTGGATCAGACAGGTAATTTACCTGAGCTTCAGACCGCTCATAGAAAACTGACAGTCATGGTTATTGTGAACATCAAATGAAGTAATTATGGGATGTGCTATAGCATACAGTAGGAGCTAGGTAAATGTTCCGTTTTTCACCATCTCCTTACCCTCGTGGAGATTATTGTGAAGACCTAGTGAGGGGTCACAGTTTATTTAATACAGATTCCTGCAGAACAGGCCAGTGTGGTTTCAGGCAGCATCCTCCAGTTTGAGAGATCTAGCCCTTTGACTGCTTGCTTTCCAAATAAGAAATTGATACCTACTATTTTTAAAATGTGCTTCCCCAGTCACCTTTTAGAATTGGAAGAGGCCTAGACTGGTCAGGAATCAAAAGACCTTAGTTCTAAACTTAGCCAGTTATGGTGCTTATAAATATGAACAACCTCTTTAGAAGTCTGTTAGGTTGAATGAACCATGTGGAATTGCCCATCTTAGACCATTTTTAACTTACAAAATGGCAATTTCATACAGTCCAACCTAATGTTAGGGACTCTGTAAATTATGGAGAACAGTACCCACCCTGCCCTGAGGGATTAAGATAGTGGGTTTAAAGTTCTACTGAACTCTAAAGCACTATAAAAATGTGAGGAGTAATTAAATTCATTTAGTCGTTCTCTCCCAGACCTTTAGACAAAGCAGTCCAAAGCTATACAGATGAGTAGGGAACTTTTATTAACAATCGTTGTTCACATTTGTGTAGATCAAGTTACCAAGTTAATCTTGACTAAGTGCTCTTACATGCATGATTTAATTTACTTTTCACAATAAGTCTATGTGTTAAGTAGGCAGGGATGCTTACCTGGAGTCCAGAGAGAAGTGAGTTGGCTCTGGAAACACAGAAGATCATCTGCGAGCATTGGCTCTGCCCCTTTTCCATAGGTGGTTCTTTATTTTTCTGATCGTGTTTAATTTTTTTTTTTTTTGCCTTCTCTTTTTCTTTCCTTTCTCTTACTATTGTACTGAAGCCTTAGGTCTACAGGTGATACCTATGATCATCTAACACTCATGCAAGCTGGATTACAAAGGTTATTGGTTCCTGATGGTCAGAGCCTTTGCCTTACCCAACTCCAAGGAGCATCATTAACATTATATTCTGGTGAATGGTGCCCCCTGAAGTGTGTGTAGGTAGAGCTAATGATAACATCTGTGGAAACGTTGAGGATTAACTGAAAGCACACTTTTAAGTACTTGCTAAGTTCTAGGTACCAAAGTTAGAAGGTGGCATTGAAACTTTGGTTTCCCTTTCACTTCTACCTTTCCTCCTCATCTTCCTTTTCTCCTGCTTGTCCTTTAAATCCGTGTTCCAAGGGGTTTGTCATAAGACTTCTAACTAACCACACAGTCCCTGGTTATACCATCTCTCAAGATTTAAATTTCTATCTGTTAGGCTGGATCATATACAATTTTGCCAATGTTCAACCATTTTGACCATAAGAAAAATGGCAGTTTCCTAAAATTCCACCTAATACATACTGATGTTTTCCATATCTTTCACCAACCCAAATCTCTCTCCTGAGCTTTAGATCCATTTATCTAATTCTCTGAATCTGTCTGTTCTTGGATGTTCCACAAGCACCTCAGTCTCAGCTTATAAACTTCCCACCACACCTGCCATCTGCCTTCAAGTTCCCTAGTTCAATAGATGGCACCATCCACCCAGTAACTCAAGGCACAGATAGAGACTTTATCCCTTTTCCTTACCTCTCTCCTTCCACCCCTTCTATAAGTTGCTAAAGGTCTATTGATTCTAAGTATCCTCTCAAATGTATTCACTTCTTCCTGTTTACACTGCTTGTTCCCTGGGTCTAAGTTACTGTCACCTCTCTAGTATTTATATAATCACTTCCTCTTAACTGCTCCTTATCTCTTTGGCCCCCTTCTATTCTTTACTGAAGTTAGACCAGCCTTTCTTACATCCATATCTCATCATGTTATTCCCTTCAATCCCCGATTTGCTTTATGAGAAAATCCTCATTCCTCCTACAGACCTGGATGATCCATGTCCCACCTACCTTGTTCATTTAATCATTAAACAAATGTTGATGAGCACCTTTTCTGTGCCAAGGCCTGGGTATATAGCAGTTATCAAACTAACTCCTTGCTCTCATAGAACTAACATTCTTATTGCGTAAGACACAGTAAAACTTACAATGGGCCAGATGGGGGTAAGTGGAAAAAGATAAAGAAGGGAAAGTGGATGGCATGTTAGCTTTATCTTGGAAAAGTGGCTCTGAAACTACAGGACTTCAGAGGTCAGCATGGATATAGTGGAAGGACTGGATTTGAAAAGTGAGGAAGCCACAGAATTGGCAACCAATTGAATGTACATTGTGAGGAAAATAAGGGCAGGCCCACATTTCTGGCTTGGGCAGCTAGGGGGATGCATATTCTTTGTCTGAGATGGGGAACAATGGAAGAATAGCAGATTTGAGAGGAATTTCTCAGCTAAGGTTTAAACATGTTAATTTATGCCGCCTGTGGAGATTCAGGTAGGTGTCCAGGTGCATACACCAGAGGTGTGGAAGTTGCTAATCCTTATTGAGGAACACTATAAAAAGACATTAAACCCGAAGTGAGAGGCGCCCAGGTGGCTCAGTCAGTTAAGTGTCTGCCTTCTGCTTAGGTCATGATCTTGGGGTCCTGGAATCAAGACCCATGTCGGGCTCTCTGCTCAGCAGGGAGTCAGCCTCTCCCTCTCCGTCTGTGTTCCCACCCCCACTCAAGTAAATAAATAAAATCTTAAAACAAAAGAAAACAAAACATACCTGAAGTGGTACTAGTCCCCCTCTGCACTCTTGGCAGACCTCTCCATAAGCAAAGGTTTCCTTCTGCCTGTGCAAGTCTCAGAATCCTTTATTTAGCATTCCTGGCAGCCTCTACCAAATCAGAGTTAACACATGAATTAAAAGCTTTTTGCCATCAGCAGCTGAGAGAAATTACTGCTTTTAGTTTATTGTAGATAGTCCACAATTTATTATAACCACTGTAGAACTAATTGAAGATTCAAAAGTATAAATCTTTTTGCAGTCTAAGAGGTACAAAATTCTTACCACTAGACTAGGTCTGGGAAAAGTCAGTAATTTTCTAGGAAACTTTATAACTTCAAGATATAAAAAAGCAAATATTGAATTTAACTATATCATTAATTCAGCCTTCCAAAACTTAACTGTTCAGCTTTTTTATGTGAGTAGTGAGCAGCGTGACTTTAGAGAGTTTTTATTAGTTCAGTGAAAAGAATGAGAATTAACAAAGTTTAATCCCCCATGGACATAGAAAGGCCCCAAATAACCCAAGTTAATTTTTTTATTAGACAAATTGTTATTAAAACATCAGATTTTCTTTTTACTTTACTGTCGAGTATTTTCCAATTTGACTCTTCGATCTATTTTTTTTTTTTTCCATTTTGAGGGCATTGCTGTTATTGATGGCTTTTATGCTTTAGATATAACTAAAAGAATTGATTATAAAGTGGAATTCCTATATACATATGGATGCTCATCAAAAAAGCTCTGGGGGCGCCTGGGTGGCTCAGTTGGTTAAGCGACTGCCTTCGGCTCAGGTCATGATCCCGGAGTCCCGGGATGGAGTCCCGCATCGGGCTCCCTGCTCGGCAGGGAGTCTGCTCCTCCCTCTGACCCTCCCCCCTCTCATGTGCTCTCCCTCTCATTCTCTCTCAAATAAATAAATAAAAATCTTTATAAAAAATAAAAAAATAAAAAGCTCTGAAGTGTTGGTTCATGGCCGTAGAGCATGTATGGTTGCTGCTTTGGGGTACTTTTTTCCTCATGAAGTTATTTATTCTTGGGGAACAAAAGAAGTGAACAGACTGGCTGGTTGCAGTTGAGATCGGGTGAGCTAAAAAGGGTGGCTTAAAGCTACTCTATATTCCATAGGTTAAAGAAATAGAGTAGGCATTTCTGCAATGTTAAGTCTGTTAAGGGAAGAAGGAAATGAAACATTTGCTTAACATCCATACCCTGCCAGTTCCTGTGTTGTGTGAATGCTATTTATTAATTGGTATAATACCACTTTTTACCCATTTTCTTAATTATTACAGAAGTGATGAAAATACAGCATCTGTTTTACAAGATCACTATCTTGATTCATCGTGGAGAACTGAGAATGGTCTTATTGTAAGTATTTTATGAAAATAATCAGGTGCATAAGCTATTACTTATTGCCTGGAGTACCTCTTTTTTACTTGGTGCTAGTTCTCAGCAGTTACAGAGGTAATATACTGGAAACATTTTTCTTACTTTAAAAATAAAAGAAACTTATTTCTTTTGACTTTGAAATGGTCTGTTGGGAAACAGCTTTGGAGCCAGCTAGATTTAGGTACAAATCCTTGCTCTACGACTTATCAGATTTGTGAACCTTTGTTTCTTCATCTAAAAGACGGGGATCATTGCAGGGTTCATTTCTTTCATTTAGTGATTATTTATTGAATTCTTACTGTGCGTCAGATGCTGGACCCAGGTTTGGGGGATACAGCTACAATCGAGACAGACATAGGCTTGCTCTCAAGTTGCTTATATGCTAAAAGGGAATCAGGTAGACAAATTAAGTATAGACCATGAAGAACCCAAGATGCTGGCTCAGAGTAACAGGGTGGGGAACCTATTTTAGATAAAGTTGTCATTGAGGGAAATAGAAGGTGACAGTTCAGTTGAAAAGTAATAGAGAGGAGTAGATATGTGAAAAGCTGAGGAAAAACATTCTAGGCAGAAGGAATAGCAGCACAAAGGCTCTGTTTGAAAGCCAGTGTCTAGAATATAGTGGGAAAGTGGGGAGTGGCAGCTGTGACAGGGTTGGAGAGGCAGACCAGAGCTCTGTCATGCTTGTATGAAGCAAGAGCAGAATCAAAGAGTCCAGTTAGGAAACATTTGTGGTAATCTAAGCAAGAGTTGGTGGTAGATTGGCCAGAGGTTTTGGCAGAGATGGATAGATTTTAATTATATTTTGGATGTAGAATTGCTTGGTAGATTGGATGTAGGATTGAGAAAAAAGGGAGGAATCCAGATGATTCCTAGGTTTCTAGGTGGAATAACTAGGTGACTCATAATGCTATTTACAAAGGTGGAAGCACAGGGAGAAACAGGTGAAGGTATGTGTTAGTGAGTTTTGAATATGTTAACTTTGAGAAGCCTACTGGATATCCAAGTGGACATGGAGGAGTGGGCAATTGGAAAAAACAGTCTAGATAGAGCTTAGAGAAGACACCTGAGCTGAACATTTTTAAGTTTTGAGAGTTGAAAATGAGTATGATCATTTAAGGAGAGATTGTGGCTTAAAGGGAAAAAGAAGTGTGGTGAGTTTTGGAAATAGGTGAAATATCTAGCAACATGCTTGCTACCTGATAGGTTTCATACATGCTAGCCATTATGACTTTATCGTGGGTAGGAGCCTGAGCCTTGGAATCCAGCAGTCTTGTGTGTCAAGTCTCTCCTCCTCCCTTTGAAACACTTGCGGTGCTATGGCTGCATCGGTGAAGCAATAACCCCTGTCCCACAGTGTTATCCTGGCAATCAGATATGTCTGGGCATAGTAAATGGTAGCTTTATTATTCATAATCATTGTATCATGTATTTCATTTGATAAAACATAGAAGATAATTTCAAAAAGCAGTAAATAAAAAAAATATACATTCTTTTTTAATAGCCTTGGACTCTGGATAGCACCATCAGTGAAGAGAACAGAGCTGTCATTGAGAAGATGTTGTTGGAAGAAGAGTATCCTTTAATGATTATGAGGAAAGTAAAGATTTCAGGGTGAAAAATCTATTAAGTGCAAGACTTACAAAAGAGATCATTGTTCTAGGGTGCCTGGGTGGCTCAGTTGGTTAAGCGACTGCCTTCAGCTCAGGTCATGATCCTGGAGTCCCGGGATCGAGTCCCTCATCGGGCTCCCTGCTTGGCAGGGAGTCTGCTTCTCCCTCTGACCCTCCTACCTCTCATGCTGTCTCTTATTCTCTCTTTCTCTCAAATAAATAAATAAAATCTTAAAAAAAAAAGAGATCATTGTTCTTACTAGATGGGCCTTATTTGGCCCCAGACTGCAATTACATAACGTGTTAGCTACCTATGAAAAAAGCAGCATTTTATTCCTCTGTTTCTGTTTTACTGCACAGTCTAAGATCTAACTCAATATGTTTGAGTTTCTTTTTTCAGCCACCTCTATACTGTCTGAATGTTGAGTAGAAATTATAGAATGTTTTGTTTTATTTATTTATTTTTTTTAAAGATTTTATTTATTTATTTGACAGAGACAGCGAGAGCAGGAACACAAGCAGGGGGAGTGGGAGAGGGAGAAGCAGGCTTCCTGCCGAGCAGGGAGCCCGATGTGGGACTTGATCCCAGGACCCCGGGATCATGACCTGAGCCGAAGGCAGACACTTAACGACTGAGCCACCCAGGCGCCCTATAGAATGTTTTAAATCAGTGAGAACCTTTAGTCCATATCCAAGATCATTTAGTCTGAGCCTCCATCTACAGTTATAGAAGCTAAATCCCAGAGATGGTTAATTTACCCAGGGACACAATTTATCCACAGTTTAATCACTAGCTTCTTGTCCTTGTTTCTTTCATCTGTTTGATGATGGCAACTTAACCTCTTTGGGATTCCATTTTCTTGTATATAAAATGAAAGGATTGAACAAAATGATTTCTGATTTTATGATTTTTTTTAAAGATTATTAGTAATAGTCTAATAAATAGTGGTTTATTTTAGCTCTCTCATCTGTATTTTATGGCTCTCTACCTCCTTTTTAAGCCAGAACTTCTCTGTTCCCTTTATTCCCAGTTATTGCTATGTTGATTTCAGAGTGTCTGTGTACCTTTGTCACAGGTTAACTCTTTTTAAAGGCTTTCTTACTCTCTTTCCCCAAACATACAGCTATAGCCTGCTTTTCAATAGAAAAATAGTGCAAGACTCATATATCATTTAAAATTTTCTGGTAGCCACATTTAAAACAGGTGGAATTAATTTTAATAAGATAGTTTATTTAACCCAGTATATTTAAAATAATATTTCAACATTTAATTGATAGACATTATTGAGGTATTTTACATTCTTTGTTTACATGTGGTATTGGCGAATACATTGAACAGTGCAAGTCTCAACTAATGAATACTTAAGTAGTAACGGGTTCACTTCCAGATTTAGAAGCAGAAATAATGAAGTAAGAGCTTTGTGAGCTCTTAGAGGACGGGGATCTTTTCTTATATCTTTGTCCTCAGCTCCTCGTACGTAGCATATTATCTGACATACACAATATATAGTCAATATTTGTTAAGGGAAGAACATGTGAGACTAATTAAAGAGTATTGCAGTAGGCTAGTTTTAAGAAGTTGGGAGAGGGAAGCTCTGTGGTAGATTTGACCTGAGTTATTTATATTAATGTAGGGAACACCCTGAACTCTATTACCTTTAGAACTAGGAAAACATACTCCCCAGTTAATCCTGGACAGCCAATCAAGTTCATCTACTACATTCCCCATGTTTTAGGAAAGATGATTTAAATGAAACACAGACTATTTCTTTTAACCACTTCTAGTAGGGAATACAGGAAAAGCTAACATTTATGTAGCACACATTCTGTGCAGGTGCTGTGTTCATGTGATTTCACCTGTAATATTTAATCCATATAACAGCCATGTGAGGTATAAATATTTTTATCATAATTTTTGCAGATCTGGAAAAGGTTTTAAGAAGAATTAGTTTAGCTAGGATTCAAGTATGATTTTCATGGATGTGAGTGCCTACTTAATATAAGTCACATAAAAATGATAGGATTTAATTATTATTTTAAAAGTTTCTTTAATAATTACACAGGTATTACTTATCTAAAAAATCACTTCCAGAAAAATTCTGGCTTGATCAAAAGGAAGATGATAAAAAATACATGAAGAGGTAAAATCAATTTTTAATACTTTTAGAAGTCTGAACTATATTTTTAAAAACTTGTTCACAAGTTTCCTTATTTTCTTTTTCATGTGGTGCAGTCTACAGAAAACAGCAAAAATCATGTATGTACTTATATGTTTTATATTTTAAAATTATAGGAGAATTAAAAAATTATAGTTGGCCTGTGGAAAAACTCTTGACCTTGGGTTGTACAAAAATATAAAATCAAAATTTCTTATACAGTTGTTGGAATGCCACAAGATAATTTTATGACATTATTTATATGTCAGAATTTCTTTTGTGGTCCTATATAAGCTATTCCACTGGATTATGGAAAAGATGGCTTCCTAAGGATTTGTGGGGAAATTTTTTAAAGCTGCTATCTAATATATTAGGAATTGGCTTGATTTCTATTACCTTGTCAGTTAATTTTCACACATTTCAAACAAATTTAATTTGAATTTGTGGCTTTCAAAAATTATCTAGAGAAATCAAGTATTAACTATTTTATAAATATCCTTTCCCTATAATTGAAGAAAATTTGATGTTATTTAGTGTTAATAAACTTTCATGTTTATGATCCTTCAAAGGGTAGACTTACAGATTTACCATTGCCAAGGGTTTGAGCAGTGGGCAGACTTTGGCTTTTGCATTTTGCTGAATAAATAACAGCAAACAAGTTAATGAGAAGAGTAATGGTTTGCTTGAATTAAATTAATGAGCTTCATCACTATTTTAATTTCATAAGGACTGCATTTCAAAAGTAATAAACATAATGCCATAGTTTCTTTACTTCTTTTTTGGCTTGATATTTAACATAGATTATACGGAAGAATCAGATAATATTTCTGGAGCCAACTTAAACACTTAACATGCCTTTCAGGATTTGGAAATGTATTAACATCTGCCGCGTTGTGTCCAGTCTAAGGAAGCCTATTTGTTTGTTATCACACTGACTTCCTTTGATGTCTTTTAGTGTTATCTTCACTCAGACCCAAGGATTATGTCATTTGGGGCTCCTATCATCCTGAGCTAGAGAAGTATACAAGACAGGGTAAATCTGTCCCCCGGGTAGAGGCTGCAGCCTTTTCTTCTTTTTTAACTCTTAGACTCACAGTATTGAATTCAGCCTATGGCTATCTATAACCTTTAGCTGCATAAATACGGAATGTTCCATTTCAGACTTTTTTTTTGCAATTCCTTTTTTTCCCCTCAGGGCACACTCTCCTACAAAAACAGCCAGTTACTCAGTAAAGTGGAAGATAGAAGAAAAAGAGCTGTTTGAACAAGGGCTGGTAAATAGAGCAATTTTTAATTTATAGTAAAATAATTCTAGAAGCCAGTATTGATAGAATTATAAGGTTAATTTGTGGAGACCAGAAATTTCTTTTAATGATCACATCTTCAGGTTTTCTGTAGTAATGATGTTTGTAGTACAAGAGAATTCCTTTTAACTCATATCTAAGTTACTAAAAGATTAAAATACATTTGGATCAATATTTTAGATAATTTTCATCCCCCCCCCTTTTTTGGGAATAATAAAACCCAAGATATTAAGCTCTGTCTGTATACATCAACTACCTGGATTAAAAGGCAAAATTATTTAGTTATCTGATGTTTTCTCTTGGAAAAAAAACCCTTGATATTTGGAACTGTCTGCATAATCAGCTGAGTTCTTTTTTATTCAGATATTTGGCATTGTGCACACAGTCTGAATATTTTTTTAGTGGATATAGTTGAAAACCAGAAACATTTCTTTTGCATGAATGTTTCACTGAGATCTATTTAAATATCCATAAGTTACGTAATAGAAAAAAAAACGTGCGCCCGTTTGTAATTCTGAAAATTCTCCTATTAATATGAAGAAACTTTTAAGAAAATATTCAGAATTTTTTTTTCTAATTATTAGGAGTAGGTTATATCTTTTCCTGTAAGGTACATGTTACCCAGTATTACACTAATTAATTTTGAAATTACATATAATTTATATATTACATATAGGATATTTATATAATATTTATGTGGGTTTTATGAATGCAAATCGAAATGTCATTGTTAACATTTCTTACAGATGATGGGAAATAAAATGTATTTGTATTTTTATAGATATCGCCATGACATCTATATATTCTGTGATGTCTTTATATAAATAAACTATCTTGAAGGTTTTATCTCCTCCTCAGGTTTTTCTCCTGTACTGTTGATGTTTTTTATATTGGTATTTCACTCTGTTGCATGATTGTCATTTTTATAACCTAACTTTAATTAACCAGTCACTTACTTAAGATTACTTACTACTTTGGTGTTTTGCCCCTTACCAAAGGCTATCTGTGTGTGTGTGTGTGTGTGTACACACACATACAAAAGTGGGTTGTGAATTTTTAGGTTATTGTTGACACTTGGAATGATGGGGCTACATCTGCATGGCTCAAACTTCAAAGGGTATTTAAAGTTATAGGTGTTAAGTCTCCCTGTCATTCCAGTCTGTGCCTTCAGTTCTCTTTGCCTCAGGTAACCATTGTTATCTGTTCTCTGCGTGTCCTTCCAAAGATATTTGTCCCTGTATATGCCAATATGTATTTATTTATATACATATGTAGGTATCTATATACATAAACAGATATTTTAAACCTAGAATGTTTTCCCACAAAACTAGAAGGAACTGTTGGTTGTATTTCCAGCCTTTTTTTTTTAATTTTTAAATTTTATTATGTTATGTTAATCACCATACATTACATCATTAGTTTTTGACGTAGTGTTCCATGATTCATTGTTTGCGTATAACACCCAGTGCTCCATTCAATACGTGCCCTCTTTAATACCCATCACTGGGCTAACCCATCCCCCCACCCCCCTCCCCTCTAGAACCCTCAGTTTGTTTCTCAAGAGTCCATAGTCTCTCATGGTTCGTCTCCCCCTCCAATTTCCCCCCCTTCATTTTTCCCTTCCTACTACCTTCTTTTTTTTTTTTTTTTTTTTTTTTTTAACATATAATGTATTATTTGCTTCAGAGGTACAGGTCTGTGATTCAACAGTCTTAACACAATTCACACTGCTCACCATAGCACATACCCTCCCCAATGTCTATCACCCAGCCACCCCATCCCTCCCACCCCCCACCACTCCAGCAACCCTCAGTTTGTTTCCTGAGATGAATTCCTCATATCAGTGAGATCATATGTGTATTCCCAGCCTTTTTAACTTACTGATATATTTTGCTTATACACTGAGTTCTCTCAGGCTTTAGAGAAAGGAATTATCTGGTACCGAATGATGAAGGAAAATTTTTCCTTCCCTTTTGGCATAGAATTGTCTCTTTGCTCTATTTTGAAATTGGTGAGTGTTTTCTTTGCTCCTCTTGTTAGTGTACCCGCTCCAATTTTCATAATGCTCAAGCCCCTATAATCCCAACTGGTTATACTTTGTCCAGATCTTTGATGTGTCCAAAAGTGCTCCATCCTATGAAGTTACTCATTTGCCTTCATCCCACAATGAATATAATTGTTCAGTAAGTTGATCTTAGCTAGGTGTTAGTTAATAACAATCTTAATTAATTTATATTTACTAAGAATTTTCCTAGAAATGCTTTCAGTTTTAAGAAATTGTTCTCATGTCAGATATTCTCATGAATCTCAGAAATAAGTGTATAATTAATTTATCATTTGGGTCAGGTTTTGAAGATGATTTGCCACTGTAACCTGTAAATGTCATAACCTGTCGTGTAAATCTGGCCCTGGGATCAGCTTCCCTGAGTTGTGGAGATATGGTGAAGATTTATGTATCAAATAGTAGACTTGATACCCAAAAATTCCTTTTAGCTTTAAAATTATATTGCATTCCTTTCTATACTTCAGAAAACACCAGAGCTCCCTCAGGGTTTCAGTTTTTTCCCCACCACAGCTTTGTCATTAGCGGGCATAAGCCTTTAACAGTACAGGGGTATAGGAAGGTGTTGGTTGCAGGTTGCTTCATTTGTGATTCATTTGTTCTTCGAAGTCGGTTTTCTGTGATACCTGTGTAGAGTAAAAGTATCTGCTATGGGACAGGTAATGGATATTGTGCCAGATGGAATCTGGGTAAAAAAAGATATTTTGAAATTAGTGTCAGAATGTAATCAGTTCGTTCTATAAATGGAAAATGGAACCTGCCTCTTTTTCAGGCACTTGTTTTTTTAGATTTGGAACATCATAATGTGCAATATGAATACATACGGTTAGGAATCCATAAAAGTTGTGGATCTTCATTTAGATAGCTGTAAAAAGAAAACTAATTCCTAAATCATTTTGGTCAGTTTTCAGACGTCGAGAATCCAAAAGAGTATGGGCTTTGCTTTTAAGAGTCTTAGCTTATATATGTGGCTTCATTGTGTACTTTAGAAAATAAATAAAGATGGGTTGTTCTTTTAGGTTTTTTTTTAATGTGCAGTTGCTTGGACTATTAACGAGTAAGTTAATCAAAATCAATTTCTTTTCCATTTTGATAACTAGGCTAAATTTGGCCGAAGGTGGACCAAAATTGCAAAGCTAATTGGAAGTCGCACTGTTTTACAAGTTAAGAGTTATGCCAGGCAATACTTTAAAAATAAGGTAAGCAGGATATAAATATCCTAGTTAATAATAATATTTGCAATAAATAAAATTAGGAAGCAAAAATAGTGCTTTAATTTGGGCATTAATGTCAATTTTCAAAGTTTTCATAGTGAAAGTATTTTATATTCATAAAGTACTCAACACATGTTTATCCTCAAAAATCTCAAAGCATAGCTTAAGTGTTTTGAGTATTGCGATTAGAGGTCATTGTTTCCTGGAAAATATCTTTTCTTTTTAAAGATTTGCATTGTAGCTTTTTTTGTTTTTATTACTATTTCTTTTATTAGCAAGATGCCTATTTGTAAATTCTGAGAAGAGTTTGACTTAAAAACCAGTCTTTTCAATATGTGAGTACAAGACCCGGTCCAGAAAAACAAGCCCATGAGCTCTAGAATGGTGTGTTTGAAAATGCACATTGTTAGGGTGCCTGACTGGCTCAGTTGGCAGAGTGTGCTACTCCTGATCTCGCGGTCATGAGTTCAAGCCCCATGTTGGGCACAGAGCTTACCTCTGTCCTTGCTGCAAGAGAGGTTGGGGAAGTTTCTGGATTTTACTTGGAGGTTTAAAGCTCATAGCAAAATTGACACTGGATGTTCCAGAAGCTTGGACTGGCTCCTGCTCTGTTTTGTTCCTGCTCCATTCTCATGGCGGCAGCTTCCACTACATTCTCAGGACTCCACGGTCTGTGGCTCTAGCCTACTTCTCTGCTGGGCCTCCTCCTGCAGGCACCCAGGACATCATGGTAGCCTCAGAACTTCTGTCCAAAGATTTGCATTGTAGCTTTTAGGAATGATTAGAGCTTAGGGACCATAAATGCTAACATGATGCTAAAATCTGTTTAATAACAATGAAACTTATAATTTTTATGAGGAATTATATGAAAACTTCAGTGAGTTGCAGTGTTCAGAAAAGCATAGTTATGGTCTAGTTCTTTAATCTTTCTAGTAATCTGTGCTGTGTTCAACCATGTAGTTTTGATATTTAGTAATTTTTAATGTTCTCTGCTTGAGTTCTGGGAACATAATTATATAGAATTTGACAGGGTCTTAAGTGAAATACGCTATTTTCTTTCAATGCAAATAATGGGTTTTATCCTGCATACAAGATTTATAGAACTTTGTGTCATTTGAGTATAGGAAGTAAAGAATGGAATGGATTCATTATACATCAATCATCTGCTCCCCTTTTAACCAAGCAAACGTATTTTCAAGGCAGCCTGGCAAGGTTAAGGTATTCTGGAAGAGAATAAAGCTTAACTTGGTTATTCCTGTCCCCATGCTTCTCAGACTGGAACATGCAGAGCATCTTGGGGTGTCAGTTTTACTCAAAGACTTGGGGTGAAAGGATACATCATGATGTTAAAAGAGACATTCATATGAAATATAATATGAAATCTTATCTGAATTTTTAAGGTAAAAACAAGAGACTTCAAGTAAATAGCAAGGTTGTTAAAGGCTATTCCAGGTCATATGTCCAAATCTCCTTTTCTCTCCTGCTACCCTTTCTTCTCTACATAATAAGCCAATTAACCTCAAATACTAGATCCTAGGATTCTGTTGTGATACAGGATCCATAAGTAAGCTCTTTTTAAGAGCTGTCATCCCTTGGGTATGCCAGTCACGTACAAAATTTTTCAAAAACCGTGTATGTGAAGATTTTATTTCAAATCATTTATATTCATTGATAGTCATTTTCTTCTCCATGACTAGATATTTATGCTTATAATAGTACCTATGGAAGATAATGTCATGCCTTAAATTATAAGCTGTATAATATTGGAGCTACATTAAATGAACCTTTGCAAAATAGTTTGTTTCTGTTATATCTTTATTTAAATGAAAAATGAATTTAATTTACTAAATAAAGATACGTGACATAGATTCCCTTAAATAATGGGCTGTTTCGCATTATAAAAAATAATCATCTGAGGTATCTACATTCTAAGAAATTAGCCATTAAAAATATTTTAATATCTTAAAGAATACCTTAGTATGATAGTTGTTGGTTCATTCTCTGTGGTTGATCTGAGACAGACCTGTTTTAAACAATACTGAAAAACAAATAGCAGTTGTACAATGTCATAGGTCATGATTATTTGATTAATACCATGAATGAGTCAAATATAGTGATAGAAATTTGAAATGATGACATTTTACATTTAAAATGCAGTTGTAAATCCTTAGAAGAAAAGCACAATAAAGGTGTAATACACCATTGATGTGTACTCAGTTTAATAATACAGTATTTATTATATGTGTGCCAGTGGTTAAATTTTTAAATGTTAATATGGGGATTTTATCTTGATTTTTAATAAGGTAAAATTAGATGGTCCAGAGAAGGAAACACCAAATGAGAAGAGCAGCAGTGACCTTCAGATTAAAAATGAAGATGAAGGCACAAAGGCATGGACGCCATCAGGTTTAAGGGGACGTGCTGATCCCAACTTGAATGCTGTAAAAATTGAAAAGTTATCTGATGATGAAGAAGTAGACATCACAGATGAGGCAGATGAGTTGACTTCTCAAGCTCCCCAAAAGAATCCTAGCAATGATGTCTTATTAAACATTCCTAATAGTAAAAGTCATGAAACCAGTCAAGGGGAATTTATTGCTTCCAACCAGGAAGATTCTGTACCTGAATCTTCCAAGGAGTATTTTCAGAATATAAAGCAGGGAGAAATGGAAGCACTTTCAAGCTCAGGAAGTAAATTTTGGACTGAAAAACAGAGTGTTAGTGACAAAAAATCAGCTGAGTTAAATGATCAGAAATGTAATAAACTGATGAAAAACTCTGAAAAACATGATGGAAATGGAATAATAGATGCTGCCAGGCCGTTGCCTTCTCCAGAGCCTTGTGAAGTTCAGGAAGACTTGAGTGATACTGAAGTGCTTTTTCATTCTTCCTGTCAAATGGAGGAGAGCCATGAGGAAGAAGAGCTGAAGCCACCAGAACAAGAAGTAGAAATAGATAGAAATACCGTTCAAGAAGAAGAAAAACAAGCAATTCCTGAGTTCTTTGAGGGGCGCCAAGCTAAAACACCAGAACGCTATTTGAAAATTAGGAATTACATTTTGGATCAGTGGTAAGGAAGAATTATATTTTAGATACTGTTGTAAAACTTACGATGCTCTAGAGTATTTTAATTAGGCCTATGCAGAATTTAGTGTTTTACATTGCTAGTGATGCAGAGAGCTTGAACATATGAATATATTTTAATAGGCAAGACTTAAAATTTCTCACAGTGAAATTTTCTTTGAAAGCTTTGGTAGATATTGTTATCTCTAGCTATCTCAGCCCATCTGTCTATTCATTAAGAGTATTTGGTCCTGGATTAAAAGGATAATTTGCTTTAAGAAGCAGTTTCTTAGGATAGTGTTAGGAAGATACAGAAAACACTACTGTACTGGAAAAGGGGGAGAATGTCTTTCCTAGTTTATCATGTACTTGTAAGTACAAAAAAAATTTTGGTGACAAGGGTATTTCTGTCATTAAATGTGGCTAGATTACAGAAACCATTCTAAATTGCTATAAATGCTTTCTTTCAGCTTTGATCTTGTAACATAATGTGTTAAGAATCCCTTCATCCAGCTTCAGGATGCAGGAATTTTCTGATATGTGAAGTTTATCTTGTAAATTGTCAAAATTTGAATTATTTAGCATTGGATAGGGCACAAACCAAAAAACTTCCCACCTTATTAGCATAAGTGCTCTGCAGATAATTTGAATTTTTCATGACATTTTAATTAAGACATTATCAAACATTCATAATTGTTGTTACTGCTTCAGGAGATACTGAATTGTGTATCCCATTACAGAGGACTTTTGCTGTAACTTAGGAAGATTGTCCAAGCAAAACAAATAACCAGGCTTATTATATCAGTAACCTTCATTGCCCACACAATATTAATTTGGCTTTTAAAGATAGCTCTATTCTAAATGAAGGACTTTTGTTCTTGTTCTTGACTGACTGATGGTTGAGATGGCTAAAAGTAAAATTTCTGGGTAAGGGTGGTATCAAATGAAAGAAGAATTATAAGGAACAACTGATAGTTGCATAGTGCTTTACAGTTACGGAAAGCTTTTCTATGTTGTTTGATTCCTCACAACAGTCCTATAGAATAGGCAGGTGGTATTTTCTGTGTTTGATAGATTCTGCGGCCAGGAGAGGTTTAGGGGCCTGCCTTTAATTATACAACCAGCTACTGACAGAAGGACCTATGTGGAGGTCTCGACTCTGTCCATCACCCTCTCCATTATTTCACATTGCCTGTTCATTCACACTATGGAAGAAGATCAATCAAATTAGATCTCTATGGGTATCTAATTTTGTTTTTGGAAATAAGAGGATGAATGGCCAAAATTGAAGGACTACAAAATAATATCTCAAAGTTTTTTATCTTTATGAATCATCAATAAGTGACCTAATGGTGCTTTAATTAATTTCACTTACTTGAATTTTGGATTCTCAATAAGGCAGAATAACTTATATTGATGATATAAATTATATGGCAGTAGTTTCCTAATGACATTTGCCTTAGTTCATAAAACCAGTTAAATGTTGTTTCAATATAGTGATTTAGCAAAACAGTATGAAAGCAGAAAGAAATGTTTTGAACAGGAACTCAAAACTATTCTCTTCAGAAATAGAAGAGGGGACTGGAGGTTTGTTCAGCATCATGCTAGTGCTGAGCTCTGTTTAAAGACTTTTGATTTGGGTAATCTTTAATTAAATCAGTACAGTTTTTAGATTCCTGTAAATTTTTGGTAGCTGGTTACACTGTGCTTATTCCTGTTCTCTTGGCTTCATTTGTGCAATTTGTTTCCTTTCACACTGAAGTTGAAGTGAAAAAACACTGAAACCTCAACTTTTCAGTGGAATTTCTTTTTTTTTCCCCTAAGATTATATTTATTTATTTTAGAGAGCGCATGTGAGTGGGGGAAAGGACAGAGGCAGAGGGAGAGAATCCCAAGCTGACCCCCTGCTGAGCACCGGCCAATGTGAGACTCAGTCTCACAACCTTGAGATCTTGGTGACCTGAGTGGAAACCAAGAGTCAGATGCTTAACCGATTGAGCCACCCAGGTGCCCCTCCAACATCACAAGTTAACTTTTTGCCTTCCCTGAATGTCTGTAGAATTAATGATTTTAAATTTGGTTTCTGCTTAGACAGGCCTTCCCTGAATACCCTGTCTAAAATAGTCTGCACCTAGTTCTCTCACTCTATCCCCTATTCTTACTTTTTCTTCCTAGCACTTGTTGCTACCTGCCATTATAATATATATTATTTATTTTATGTACATATAATTCATTATATATATTCTATCAGCATGTAAGGTCAGGAACTTTATATTTATCTCTGAATCCTTAGTGCCTAAAACAGTGCCTGGTGTGTAGGATGCAAAATAAATGTTTGTAAAATAAAATAAAGATTAAATACCTTTTATATGATATATATGAATACTTGGTTTATAACGTCCGTATGAAAATCTTGACTTTAACTTCCATAAATAAGTACTTTAATCCCCCTGACTTGTTTTCTTATCTCTAAAGTAAGAATAATAAAAGCTGCTTTGTAGAGTTATGAGAATTAAGGTTGTATAACTATTAGTACTGGCGTAAGTGTTCAGTAATTGTTTGCTACTATGAGTAAGTTCTCCATTACTCTTAACCTGTATCTACTGTGGCACAATAAGTATATTCGGTAAATATGTGTTTTATTATGTAAACCTTTTAATTTTTTCATAGTCTTTGGGCATTTCTTGATTCCTTTGAAATCCCCTGTAATATCTGTTTTCCATGGAGAGTAAGCACTTGGTATTTACTGGTCTAATGTTTAAAAACCAATAAACTTTTAAGTATTTGTAAGGTAGCTTATAATTAAAAGATACTGTCCAGCAAAGTAAAAGTAGATGAACCTAAGTGATATATTAAAAAATAAGGAAAGCCTAATACTAAATACTTTAGATATATTATCAGAGTGCCCTTTTTATTCAAAGATGAGGCTTGAATTTGGATCTGTAGACAAAGCTTCTAACTTTAAAATCCTGGAATAACTGGAATTTATTACATTTCATATGGGAAAGAAATAATAATAACAATCACATTATACTCATAAGTTATTGTATCATTTAAAGATATTTAAAATTTGGGTTTTATGTATTAGCATTGTTTTTACTACACATTTACAGATTGAGGGGGGTAAATTTTTAAGATATTTCAAATATTAAAAGTTTTCCCCAGAAATCTTTTTTTCATGTTTTTATTTATCCAAAATAACTGTACTTCCATCTCTTAATTAGGGAGATATGCAAACCGAAATACTTAAATAAGACCTCAGTACGTCCTGGCCTGAAGAACTGTGGGGATGTTAATTGTATTGGACGGATTCATACATACCTCGAGTTGATAGGAGCAATCAATTTTGGATGTGGTAAAAATAAAAACCCAACAACATCTTTTACTCAACATTTTTTATCTTTAGAGCACCCATTAACTTCTTCGATGGTTAGAATTCAAGCAGATTTTACTATAGATAGAGAATTCAGGAAGATGCTATGACATTATGAAATAAATGTATTATTGAGGTTTTTTTTTTTAAACAGATTTCTGTTGATTAAACTATATTTTCCGGTAACCTACAGTGAAAATTGGTGGTATGAAAGGGAAAAATATGCAGTCTAAGTAGTAGAAATAATTTAACAGTGCTGCTCTTTGTCAAGTAAAAGTAAAGTCATTTTAAGAAAAATGTAGTAATAGCCCATTTAATTTGCAAAATCTGTATTAATGCTAGAAATACTGTCTAGCAGTGTTTAAATAAAGGAAATAATTTATGAGCCCCTACACTTAAATGTAATAAAAGTGCCAAAATATTTTTCATGGAAGAAAGTTTCTTTCACCCTAGTTTTTCTCAAATTTAAAGTCAATGAATATGCATGATTTTAAATGTTTTCTTCACTTCTATTGAATTAACGTGACACAAACATTTTGAAGAAAGATAACAGTAGTTGCAAAGTGATAAGGTAATTAGAACTTTGTAACCCATGGTTTCAGAGGAGTATATTGTATATTGTATGTGTATGGGAAGACAGCTAACCAGAATGTTTCCTTTCAGAGATTATTTCATAGAGAGAGAGAATTCACAGTCTGCCCTGTGGTCTGTCCTTCATTTCAGTGTCTTTGTTTCCGCAAGCACTGTATATGGGACTGACTGGTCAAGAAAGCTAAGGTGTCACAGCTTCCTCAGCCACAAAAGAAAAATCATGTTTTCAGTATTAGATCTTTGAATTCGGCAAAGTGGCCTTAGCACTCAGTTAATTAGAAATTAAATTACCCATCTCACGAATACCCCATTTTACTGGGATTTCCTTAAGAGTCTTTTACGTGAGAACTTCCAAGTGATTGTAGATTAAGATAGATGCTCAGGTGTAACAGAACTTAGACATTGGCTTACAACTTACAGTCAGTGTAGATGTGTCTTCCTAGGTAAGAAATGAGTTTCAGAAAGTAATAGAGTGTTTTGTTTTTCCTGAATTCCAATAGAACAGGCTGTGTACAACAGGCCACAACCAGTTGACAAAGGACGAGTCAGAGACCGAAAAGCTACAGGGGAAGCGTACCGGCTTGCACGGCGCCTGCAGTCTGCGGTAAGCAACCACCCTTGCCAACACAGCGCTCCAGATTGCTCCTTGCCCTGTTAAGTGAGGCGTGCTTCCTTCTCGCCAGCTGCTTAACAAGTGGACATTTAGTGGACGAACTGGTTTTCTCTTGTATTTCACCTTAGCCGTTCACTTTCCTGGTTCCCATTCAGTTCCATGTTAGTTTAAAAGTCAAAAACCAAAAAAACCTCACGGGTCACTGGCCGACTTGACACAGAAGCATTGTGCTTTGCTAGCGTGGTCTTAGACTGCTGGTTCTGGTTTCTGTATCTAGTGTGTCTTTTATAACCATACAGTTAAACTCTTTTTGTCCTCCTCAGTTACTTTGTTAGTTTAAAAGTCTTACCTTTGAGAGTCAGCTTTTTGGAATAGCTATTCGAACTATTGTAAGCTTTCTTTGTTAATTCTTGAGGTTAGTGAGTTTTAAAATTTCTTACAATTCATGAGTCTTATTTTTTTTTTAAAGATTTTATTTATTTATTTGGCAGAGAGACACAGCAAGAGAGGGAACACAAGCAGGGGGAGTGGGAGAGGGAGAAGCAGGCCTCCCGTGGAGCCCGGAGCCCAACGCGGGGTTCGATCCCAGGACTCTGGGATCATGACCTGAGCCGAAGGCAAACACTTAACAACTGAGCCACCCAGGCGCCCCACCTGAGTCTTATTTTAAAAATGGGTAGTCCTACAAGTCCTCTAAAGGGCAGAGTCATATTGGGTTCTTGTTGGTTTTACTAATAAAATAGGTTAAATTGGTAATAGGTGAGGCAAATGAAGAAAAGTGCCGATAATAGAGTGGGTATTTTTCTCAGAGTATTTAGGCCGTAAACCATTTCTACCTAGATTTACTGTAGTAAAAAAGGATGTTTTTAGATATGGTTGCTGGAAAGGGTGCTTTTTATATGCTGGCTTCTGAGCCAGTGCATTTTAAAGGCTTCAGTATTGAGGTTTACAAAACTGGGTATTAGTAATTCAACTAACTTTGTACTTTTTTATTAATTATATCCACTAGGCAGTCTTTCCCTTTCTAAGGCTGAGAAATAATTAATTTGCTTCTAGTTTTCAGTAACCTACCTCTTGCTGTGGGTTCTTGCAAGTTTTCTACCACAAGTGGTTGAAAGGGAAGTCATTTTCTTGGTGGTTCTTTTGGTCTTAAAAATATCTTTTGTCCTAGTGTTTAACTCATAAAGGTGAAGAGAAATTAAACTTCAAGAAGAAATCCAAGTAAAATTCAGAAAATCATTACTGATTTATTTTTGAGCAGAGTGCTATTAAAGATAAATTAATAAAATAAAATTTTGTCAGGCATTGCCGATCAGAGATTATATTTTAATGAAGAAATTAATTGATTTTTAGAAAAATATCATTTTGGTGTTGTATATTAGTGTGCTGTGATTTCTTCGAGTTAACCTTGTTACCTTTTGCTTTATTTTAATCTTACCCCAGCGCACAAGGAGACGGAGGGTCCGAGACCCATGGGGAAATTGGTGTGATGCAAAAGACTTAGAAGGACAAACCTTTGAGGTAACTTTGACCTTTGCAAATAGCTCATTAGTGAAAGTTGTTCTCTTAATTATATTTGTATATCTTAATACCACATGTATTACACTCGTTTGTGTTTGTGTGTGTGTGTGTATCCTTCTCATGTTAATTTGCTTGTCTAGAAGTCACCAATAAATAACAAAATAGAGGCATTGGTACACTTAACTAGGAGTTTGATTAATTTTTTGTATTTTAATTATCTACCTCTGCATTCTGGTCTCTAGCTCAAGAATAATCTGCCAATGTGCCAGGAAGTTGGTATGCCTAATTCATTTCAGTAAACATTTATAGAATGATGTTCTGATAGACCATTTAAAATATTGTCCCACACATTAGACATAAATTGAATTACAAATATTAAAGTATTTCTACTAATAGAAACTGGTTATAAAAAGAAACAGGCAATGAATGTGTGTGTGTGTGTGTGTGTATTCTATTTGTGAACAACTAGTGCAGTAGAATGGAAAGAATGTGCGAATGGGTGCTTATTGGCTTTGTTACCTTGAACAGTTTCTTAACCTCACTAAAATTCAGATTTTTATCTATAGAGTGTGGGTAATATCTCTCTCAAAGAATTGTGAGAATTAAGTGAAGTAAACGGGATAAAATGTGTGGAGGTCCTAGTACTAGACACTTAAGAAGCCTTGCATATACCAATTAGTAAATGTTACTTTCCTCCTGGGTTTCAGTGCAAAAAAAAAAAAAAAGGTTCTCCTCTTTTTCTCTTCCCCATTCCCTGTCCTCAACCTTACACCTGAGCACCAATCTAGGTACAACATTAGTTAATGCCTGGTTTCTGCCTAGAAGGAACTTAATTTCTAGTAGGAAAGATGACCTGTGATAAGTTACATAAGATTGGTCTTAAGAAATGTCAGGTCTTCCCCAAAGGTTGTGATTAGAGGAGGTATCACAGAAAATGTGATATTTCATCTGTGACATAAAGGATGAGCCAGGAGAATTAGTACATGAGGGCATCCCAGGCTAAGGGAGCGGCATAAACAAAGGTACAGATGGGGAAAAATACCAGACATATTCTGGAAAAGATGCATAGTTCATTTGGACTAGAGTATAAGAGTGGTAGTAGAAGTGGGATGAAAGATGTGTTCTGTACTTACTATTATCAGGGTTTTATAAACATTAATCAAATCAATCATCACAATAACACCAGGACATTGTTGTTATTACTACTTGTGTTCCCATGTTAAAGGTAAGAAACTAAAGCACAGAAAGCTTCAGTAACTTGGCCAGGGTCGTCACCCAGTAAGTAGCAGAGCCAGGCATTCTATCTCCAGGATCTGTGCCATTTATCATTATGTTGCGATGTCTCCTGGTTGGGAAAGAAAACTCTTAACACAGTAGGACTTGGTGACTAGAAATGGGGAATAAGTAAGAGGAGGGACTCAGGTGATTCTGAAGTTTTTGAACCTGGGTGACTGGTGCCATTAATTGAAATAGGCAAAACAAGAGAAGGAATAAATTTTAAGTTTGGTGTGGCTGTAGATTTCGATTTGTTAGTAGAAAGAAGGAGACACATCTATATCAACATAGTAGATCTCATTCTCACATGCCTTTAAATATGGTTTAAAGAGTTGTTTTTGTTTTAATTCTGCCTCTCAGTGGCTGATGGACTCTGATCAACCTGTGTTTTATGTTTTAGCATCTCTCTGCTGAGGAATTGGCAAGAAGAAAAGAGGAAAAATGTAAACCTGTTAAATCCTCAAAAGTACCAAGACCAACAAAAAGGTATAGTGTTATATAACTATGATTTTTTTAATTTATCACAAATGATTAGGAAATGAATGGAAAAAATATCTGATATAACATTATATTCATATTAAGTTGAAAAATACTAAAATTTTTGAAATGTTTTATTTCACTGATTATCAATTTGGAAGACCTTGAGCAAAAGTTTTAAATTTATTTGGGTTTAGTGATCATAGGATCCAACATATGCTGTAAAGGGGCCTTAATTATGACAGGTAGTCATTCAACTCCTTAGACATTATAAATAGATAACCTCTTGAAATGACTAGTTCTTTCTTTAGTTGGTGTGGATTGTTAGCAAGGTTTCTTGTTTTTGAATAATCTGATATTTATAACCTGTAATAATAAAGGTCACCAAGTTAAATGTCTTGATTTTCTAGACCCTTACTTTCTGCAGATGCCCCATTGAATAGACTATAGTTTTGTCAGTGTCCCTTTTAAAACAAGATATCTAGGAATGGCACTAAGTCATATTCAGTGGAAAGAGCCCTGATGCTTAACCAGGGGTATGTCCCCAGGTAAGTTACATAAGGCCTTAAGCCTTCAGTCCTCATTTATAATATAGTAACTATAATAGCTAACACTGTTAGTTAGCTAAATTTTAAGCACTTCATGTATATTAACTCATTTAATCCACATAACTACCCTATGCAGTAGTTAATATCATTCCCATTTTATAGGTGAGGAAACTGAGGCACAAAGAGCTTGAGCAACTTGCCCCCCGTGCTTGTTAGTGGCAAAGCTGTGATTTAAATCCAGGCAGTTAGGTTTAAGAATCCATACTGCTAACTATTACATTATATATCACTTCTATAAAATAAAAATTAAAACTTACAGTTGTGAGAGTAAGTTAAATGAGATAAACTATGTAAAAAAGATAGTCATCCCTAAGCTAGGACTCCTCATCTAGTATCCAGACATTGGATTTTCTGAATCTAAATGTGAGACATATTTATTGTGATTTCCAGGTCCTTGTTCCAGTTTGTCAGGATCTTTCTGAATCCAGATCCACTTTTCCCAATTAGCCTTCGTAGCTTTGAATCATCAACATTTCAATAAGCTTACCTCTTCTGTCATTGACCACTGATTAAAATGTTTAAATGAGATAAATGTAAGCCTCAGACATCATTGTTCAATCAGCTGTACATTGCTACAATTAACCTGTGTTTTTTCATCTTATGCAGAAGAAAAATCTTGGCAGGTATCTTGCTTATATTCAGATAGAATATATTTGAATCTTTATGAGTCTGCTAGTTTCTAGCAGATCAGTCGTATCAGAAATGAAATTTAGATTTACTTATCATGACATATTTTCATAGATCCATTATTATTATTCTTAGTAGTCACCTCTTCACTTGCTAAAGGCTCAAAATCACCTGTTTAATAATCTTTTCCAGAATTTTCCAATATTTACATCTAATTTCTCTGCTTCTAAAGTCTGCTTTTTTGTATGTTCTGAAAACAAGCCCAGGGCACCTGGGTGGCAGGTCATGATCTCAGGGTCATGAGATCGAGCCCCGGGTTAGAGCCCCACACTGGGCTTCGTGCTGGGCTTGGAGCCTGCTTGGGATTCTCCCCTCCACCACTCACACATGCATACATTCTTTCTCTCTCTAAAAAAATAAATAAAATGAAAACAAGCCATTGCAATAATTGCCTATTCAAAGTCCTCCACTAATTTTTCCATTCTGTACAGTTCCTCCAACAAGATCAGTGGGGTTTCACATCATGCTTCTTCAGTGCTCTGGGATGCATACACTGTCTTTCTATTCTTTTTATTCATGCACTTTTTTATTTGAGGATCTTTCCCCTTCATTCAACAAATATTCCTGAATGTTTGTTATGTATCAGGCACTGTTCTAGGCACTTGGGATGCAAAGTGTCTGACTTTTGGAACTAACAGTCTCTGGTAGAATGGGAACTGAATAGTCCTGCTGTTTTCTAGTCCTATTAACATGAACATATTCCTTGTTTGTTTGGGTTTTTTCTTTCTCTGAACATAGCCTAAAAAAACTTATTAATCATTCTTAATATCTTTCTCAAACCTCAGTTCTTCACTGGTAAAAGCCTTTCTAACATTTCTCTCAGATTTATACGTGCTTTTGTATTCTACCCTTGCTTATGTGCCCCTCTTTTTGTCTTTTTTTTTTTTAACTCTTTCATTTTAAAATAAGTTTATCATAGAGCTTTTTATATACATTAATTTCTTTAGCAGAACTGCTGCTTGTTTATTCATTCAGCAAAAATTTATTGAGTACCTACTCTATGCTAATATGGTACTTACAAGTGTTTTTGAGAAACTTTCCTCTTTCTTGAATTTTCTTACCCATGTCATGTCAGGGAGTTGGTTACATTTTCTTCAAACTTTTTGAAACCTGCTTTCAATGTAGGACACATGTGTGGGTACTTATAATGAATATTCTTCTCTGGGTGTTAAAAGAAATTAAGGCAACAGAATTACTTTCTCTCAAAGGTCCTGTCATTTCCCATCTTTTATTGAGTCCAAAAAAACAGTGCTTCTTTCAAAAGGGTTGTATGGAACATCCTTAAGAAATTCTCCTAGTTTAGTATTTTTCTGAGAATTGGGGTTTAGATTATTGATGCACATTTTCTAATTTAAATGAATGTGATTTTCCTGATCTTGTTATTGAGATTATATTAGAAATGATTTTTTTTTTTTTCTTTTCCAGCTCATTTGATCCCTTCCAACTGATACCTTGTAATTTTTTCAGTGAAGAAAAGCAGGTACTATTTATGCATCAGTGAATGGCCATAAATAATGCCCCCCGGTCAGACATGAAGTATTTCTTTTTCTGTGTGTGCAAGGCATATATATATATATATATATATATGAAAGATTGGATAAAGCAGGGTACATTAAGGGTCAAATGAGTGATACAAATGGGAAATGAAAGAGCATTTCTCCATGCTAGGATTTTAAATGATAATATTTTAAAAATCTCTAGTTTATGCTGAGCCTTGGTGGTGATGAGAACTTAGTGTAACATGTGAAGGAGGAAAGGGTGGACATTCCAGTGAGGAAGAACAAAATCTCTATTTTTATGCTCCCCCTTTTTTTTTTTTTTTTTTTATATTTCAGGAGCCATTTCAGGTGAAAGTGGCTTCAGAAGCACTTTTAATAATGGATTTGGTAAGGATAATCTATTGTGCTTACTTACTCTGATTTCTATTCTTGTGTATTTTTATTGCAGGCTTAAGAGAGAGTATGGAAGACGTGTATTTTGGATCTTAACTATCCTCTTTTACAAGGAATCTAAAAATAACTCTTTTCTTTTGGAGAAAAGCCAAACAATTGCATGTTTCCATATTTTAGAGAAAATAAATTAATGTGAGTTTTGCAGACTGTTTATCATCATTAACCCTATATTCATTTCCTGGTATCCTTTGTCTGCTGCCTTCTAGATAACTGCAACAAAGCACAACTACAATTTGGAGGCTCCTTGTTTGCACTAAATTCCAGAGACCTCCAACAGTTGTGTCTGTTTAGGGCGTTCTTCTATTATATCCATTATGATACCTTTCCTGAGTAAGGAAAACAAATGGTATCTTCATTTTGTAAATTTAAAAATAGCATCTTGGAGTGTTTGAATGTTTGGTTCAAAGCTTCTCAGCTGGCAGTGAAGATAAATCTGAAATCCTAAATTTCTTTGCACTGAGCCTAGCATCTGATTCCTCCACTATGCTACTTTATTCTAGAAAAGCATAGTTACCGTACTTATAAATGACTCTCGTGTGATAAGTGAGTTTTATTCTGATTTTTTTGTCAGATGGATTTGTATGTTTGGGCTAAGTCTATTTTGTATTTCTTTTTAGCATGCTCATGTTTCTATGGCAGAAGTGATTGGTCTATTAGGAGGAAGATACTCAGAAGTTGATAAGATAGTTGAAGTAAGTTCTCACCTTTAAAAAATTTTTTTAATTATTTAGTACTGCTGCCATACCAAATATTTTTATAGATTTCAGTGGATATAATTAAAATACAGACTTTTACCCGTGATATAAATGAGACTATGCAAATGTGGGTTAGATATTCCCAGGTGTAAATTAGCATTCTGTATATTGAGCACCAGTTTCCTTTTACCATCAAGAAAGAGGGAGCACTGCCAGCCAGGCCTCCTCATTGCCCTCACCAATAAAAAGCTACAACTACTTTAAAGCCAGGAAACATGCACCTACCCTATAGTTGAAACTTCTCTGTTGCAATTATTATCATAAATAATGGGAGTCATTGGAAGACTGTGTTTGTACAGATATTATATGGGCTAACTTGGAGAACTAACAATTATTATGGCCTTGTTTGAGTAGAAACATGGATTCTGAGTTTCTATATACAACTGCACTTTTAGGGTGTCATTCATTGCAGGTTAAAGGCTGCTTGTGATACTGTCAAGTACTTTCATTAGCTTAAAGAAGTTTCTGTATCTACGTATGAAGAACTAAAACTTTAAGTAATAGAATTAACAGGATTTCAGTGTAACCATATAAGGATTAATCTTTTCATAGGTCTGTGCAGCAGAGCCATGTAACAGTCTGAGTACAGGACTGCAGTGTGAGATGGATCCTGTCTCACAAACACAGGCCTCAGAGACCTTGGCTGTGAGAGGTTATAGTGTTATTGGATGGTATCATTCTCATCCTGCCTTTGATCCAAATCCTTCCTTACGAGATATTGACACTCAAGCCAAATACCAGGTGGGCTTCTAGGTCTTATGTGTACGTTGTGTGTAAATAATTGTACTTTTTCTCCTCCTTCATTGCTTTCTATTAAATAAATGTATTTTTAACATTTCTAGCAAAGTATTGCATTTCTAATATTATTTACATCTGGAGTTTTGAAATAACTTTGCATTTTTTCTGATCACAAGAGTAATACATGTTTATTTAAACATTTGGGAGATCAGCTATTTGTTTAGTTCAGACAAACCATCTAAGTAACAGTGATAAGTACTGCCAGAGCCTTTAAAAATTTATGGGAACTGGGCACCTGGGTAGCTCAGTTGGTTCAGTGTCTGGCTCTTGATTTTGGCTCAGGTAATGATCTCAGCGTCCTCAGATGAGCCCCACATCAGGCTCCGCCCTCATCGTGGAGTCTACTTGGGATTCTTTTCCTCTTTGTCTCCTTCCCCCTCAACACCTCCCCCTGCTCAAGCTCTCGCTCTCTCTCTAAAGTAAATAAAATCTTCAAAAAAAAATTGATGGGAACAACTAGGATAGGGACTGGGTATGAGTGAAATAATCATTACCAGTCTATTTTACATCTCTGGGAAAGATGAAGTTTTGTTTGATTCTAACAGTTTATGTTAAATAGATGAATGTTTTTGCTGTCAGCAGCTGTTAATAAATTATTACCATATTGATAAAGATTATAGCTGAAGCGTAGTGAAAATAATTTGTAAACATGTTCATGGCAAATAGAGATTTTGCAGGCCAGGTGATGACCCTTAAAAGGGGTCATTTCTGGTCACTTCTGGTTGGGTTGAGCACATTTTGGCCTAAAAAATTTAGAGTGTGGAATGATACATATTTCATTTAGTTGCTTTTTGGATGTGAAGTTTTTAACACACCTTTTGTCCCTTTTTCCCGAACCATTAGGTGTTTAAGATGTTGGTATGGGTAAATACTGATTTTTAAATTTATGCAGTCGAGACTAATTATATTTTTCTTTTAATTGTAGAGTTACTTCTCCAGAGGCGGTGCAAAGTTCATTGGAATGATTGTTAGTCCTTATAATCAGAGCAATCCTTTACCTTATTCCCAGATTACCTGCCTGGTTATAAGTGATGAAATTAGCTCAGATGGCTCTTACCGTAAGTTTTCAACAAAAACAACTTCACCTGATTTCTTTTTTTTTTTTTTTAAAGATTTTATTTATTTATTTGAGAGAGAGAGAATGAGAGAGAGAACACATGAGAGGCGATAGGGTCAGAGGACGAAGCAGGCTCCCCGCCAAGCAGGGAGCCCGATGCGGGACTCGATCCCAGGACTCCGGGATCATGACCTGAGCCGAAGGCAGTCGCTTAACCAACTGAGCCACCCAGGCGCCCCTTCACCTGATTTCTGCCATCATTTCTTTGAATCTTACATATTAAAGAATTCATAATTATGCGAAACTATGTGATGGAAAAGTTTGTACCCTCAACTAGGGATCACTGTTTGCACACCATGTAATGCAGCCATCCTCTTCCCTTTGGTGATATCCTTCTAGATTCAAGCCCCTACTCTGTTACCATGGCCACTGGGCAAAAGGATTACAACGTGGAGAAAAGTTTGGGCCAAGCAATGTCCATGTTAAGTACAGGCCTACCTCCGAGATATTGCAGGTTTGGCTCCATGTTGTAAATATCACAATAAAGTTAGATGAATTTTTTGGTTTCCCAGTGTATATAAAAGTTATGTTTACTCTGTACTATGGTTAAAAAATACTTTTGCTAAAAAATGCTAACCATCTGAGCTTTCAGTGAGTCATAATCACTAATCACAAATCACCATAACAAATATAACAATAATGAAAATTTTTAAATATTGCACGAATTGCCAAAATGTGACACAGAGACACGAAGTCAGCAAATGCTGTTGGAAAAATGTTGCTGGTAGACTTGTTTGACCGTAGGGTTGCCACAGACCTTCAGTTCATGAAAAAAACAATAGCTGTGAAATGAAGTGCAGTAAAGTGAAGCATAATAACCTGAGGTATGCCTGTATTAGAGATGCTCCTGTAAGCAAAATACACAGAGTCTCTGTTTTCAGGAAATTTCTTATGAATGCAGGCTGACTTTCTCTGCAATGGCATTCAAATGGGGAAAAAAATGAAAAATGACCACCCTGTCACCAGCTCTCCATGGCCTCTCAGTTTTAGGCTTAACAGTGCCTGACTAGTTTCCTTCTCTTAGTTTCCATTCTGTCCCAAGAAAGACTGTGCTTTCTTGGGCTTAGGCCATCGTATGGTTGGGTTCATTTGGGAATTAGGTTCACTTGTGGTCCAGTCAGCTCTGGCTGGACAGGGAATAGATGTGGCAGACTAGGGAAGGGAGGGGAAAGGAAGAGGCGAGTGTGCACAGAATGGAAAAGACTAGAAGGAACAGTGACTTCTGTAGGCTGTTTATTCTCTCTTCTCTGTCCACCACCAGGGCTCTCGTTCTCTGTCCTCCCTTGATGCTGTCACTGCACACTGTACCCTTAAAGGTAGACGTGATACCAGACTTGTTTTTCTGTCCTCGGTCTCTAGCACGAGACCTGGCATAAAGCAGGTACTGAGTGAGTGTTTGTTTAACAAATTAATTTTGGTTTTCATAATGTCACTTAGACCCCGTCTCTTTGGTAAAGACCCTACCATTATCCCCATGTCATTGCAAGTAGTTGCTCTGCTCTTTGTACACCTGCAACACTTGTTTCATGCCTTCACGGTGCTTTTGTCCTTTAATGTATCTCTTCAGCATGTCTCACTAAAATGTGAACCTCAGAGAGCCCAAACTGTCTTTGTCTGTGTAGCCCCAGCAACACCTAATCAATTGCCTTGAACTTAGGAAGTGGTCAGCACTCTACTGGTTTTTATTGAATGAATAGTATTGACACTGACTTCAGTTCAAAATGCCCATTTTGAACATAACATTTGTATACAATATTCTTAAGCCCAATATAAAAAGTTACAAAAGGAGTAATCACAATTAATTTATTCTCAATTTAAGTCATCTTTTTAATCTCACAGTCTGCTAGATTTAGGGAGTGAGCCTGTACTCTGATGGTATCAGAGTATACAGAGAATATAGTAGCTACCAGTTACATAAGACTATTTAATTAGAATTAAATGAAATTTAAAATTCAGTTCCTAGAATTCCTCTTCTGGCCCAAAGGAAGTAACAAAACCTCCCTGAAACAACCACAAAACTGGACAAATGTATAAGACCATGGTGTTGAGGTCATAACGTCAGGCAGTGAGGGGATATGATTGCTGAGAGACGGGAAACAAATGAGGAGAGCCCCCGAATTACCCTAGCTTGCTTACCAACTTAACAGAGTTTCCAGGTATGACACAAGGAGGAGAACCCTACCCAGAGGCTGGCAGCCTGAGTTGAGGTGACAGACAGACAAATGCAACTAAATTTGCAGGACAAGGGACCCGAGAGCAGAAAAGTACATGGAGAGCCCGACTCTGGAGATTTGACGAAGGTACGAATTTAGTATTGCAAGAAAACACAGACCCAGTGCATGTGAGGAAGAAAGTACCCCAGTCAGGGGCAGGAACCACTTGAAAGGATGAGAGAGGACAGTACTGGACGCTCTCATAAGCTACGATTGGACAGCACACAGGATTCAGTATTATAATTGCAGAAAGTTCTTTTGAGCAGAGTTGTCACCTAAATGCCTCTTAACACTGCTTACTCGGTCTTAGTCCTAGGCTCTTCACTTTGCTCTTCTTGGAAACATTCTGGTTCAAGAATTAAAGTTTTCTAGAAACCAGGGGATGTCTTGTGTTACTGTACTTTTAACTTAGGTTCTCTCTTCCTCGCCTTTCCTGGCGTGGCCTGTCCTTTCTTTTTTCCTGTTAGGTATATACCCAAATTCTACCTTTAAAATGTCTCTAATGGATAAGCATTTTCTATACTTGTATTAGTCAGGAAATACACTTAGTGACTAGTTTTCTTCTGATATTTTAATGGATTAAAAATATTTAGTACAAAAGGAAATTTGTACTGATTTTAGTGCCATTTTTTAACTTAGAAAAATATTCTTAATACCAAACAGAGCTGTATAGTTTGTGTATGTGCGTGTGTGTGTTTTCATGGTTTTCCACCAGCACAGACTGAAAATGCATTATTCTTTATTCTTATTTTTGGCTTTCATTAAGAGTAGGAGTTGCTTGCCTGGATTCAGACCCCAGCTCTGACATTTATTGGTTATTTTACCTTGGGCATATTACTTAGCCTTGCTCATTCCCTTTTGCCACATCTATAAAATGTGAAAAAAATTACTACCTTGCTGGGGCACCTGGGTGGCTCAGTCAGTTAAGCATCTGACTTTGGCTCAGGTCATGATCTCAGGGTCCTGGGATGGAGACCTGCGTCATCTCCACCACACTCAGCGGGGAGTCTACTTCTCCCTACTTCTCCCTCTCCCTCTGTCATGCCCCCCCCCCGCCCCCACCACTCGTGCGCTCACGCTCTCTTTAATAAAAATTACTACCTTGGAGTTGTGAAAACTGCTGGTAATATATGTCAGGTGCTTAGGAAATAATAGATCTTCAGTAGGTAGTTGTGATTATACTGTTGTCTGTGCTTTTAAGTAATCCAAGCATATCAAGTAAATTATTGATATCACCAAAAGGAGTTTGCTTAATATCTTGTGTGCTGTAATGTGTCACTCTTCTTAAGTTTTTGGAGGGAAAAAGTGAAATGGAGGAGAATTGAAAAATGAAAAAAAAGAAAAGATCCACCTGAAAAAAATGGGGGTAAAGGCCTTTTTAGAACATATTGACAAAGTATGCTTATATTGTAAGGAAGTGTAGTCGTGATGTTTTTTCCTTTCATTTTTTTCATGCCTTCTGATTTGCTGGCATTGTATTTACTTGAAAAGCCTTATATTAACAAAAACCCAGTTGAGAGGCAGTATATTGTAAAGTTAGTAACAGAAACTCGAGCCAGACTGCCTGGGTTCAGATCCTGGCTCTACCTCTTCATAATTATATATATGCTGATGAACAGGTTATGTCTTTATCCCCTCCCCCCCCCAAAATGGGGGGACAATACTGGTAGCTAGTTCACTTAAGTGGCCTTACGTATATAAAGCACCTTAAGCCTGCCATGTAGTAAGCATTATGTAAGTTTTACTATTATTTTTATGGTATTGACCTTTGGTAATGAATCAGCTGAGCTTTTCTTTTAATACGTTACAAATAAAGTTACAGGGGGATTTTGAAGTTTACATGAGAAATTTCCAAGTAGGCTCATCCTTGATACTTTTCCTTTGTAGCTGTGTGCATGGTATCCACCCCTTGGGCTCCTTTCCTCCAGAGTTTAACTTGACAGAGAAGTGCAGTTGCTGCTTCTTCAGAGTTAATCCTATTCCCTGGCTGTTGTTAGATTAGCACCTACAGGGTGGTAAAGTGAATGTGAGCTCAGAAGCCAGGCCAACCTGCTGGGGCTTAAAACACAGGCTCTTCACTTCACCAGCCTAAACAGGTTGTTTCACTGGTCTCAGCCTCAGTTTCTTTGTTAAATAGGAATAATGCTTGCCTACCTTATAGCATTGCTGCAAGCTTAATCTGTATAAAAATAAAAATCACTGGGATGAAATATGTCTTGTTTTGCGTAGCTAAGTGTCAGTTTAAGCCCGTGGTTCTGGCACAGTCTTTAACAATGCCCCCTTTCACTCAGAAAGTTTCCTGGTTTGGATATAAATTATGTAATCACCCTGCCTCTCAGTTCCTTACATTATATATATATATATATATATATAATTGTCATGCAAATGGTACTTTTACTTTTCTTTATTAGTATTAATTGCTTGCTTGGCATTAATGTGTTTGATGGACCAGGTTCAGCCAGGCAGTAAATATTTAATGAATGCCCACTATGTTTAAAGTGCTGTTCAGCTGGTCTGCCAAGTTGCGGGGATGAGGATTTTAGGTAATTAAAAGGAGATTGGGGACTTAAGAAATAGCTGATGACAGTCTGCTTCTTTATGCTTTTCTAGGTTTACCTTACAAATTTGAAGTACAACAGATGCTGGAAGAACCTCAGTGGGGATTAGTATTTGAAAAGACAAGATGGATAATAGAAAAATATCGGTTATCCCATAGGTATGTACTGTGCTTTGAGATGGTTGCACATCTGCAGTGTTTCTCATTAAATTAGGTTTTAGAGAAAACCCAAGTTAAATATAAAATTATGATATATAGCATCAGTGACAGTTTATTACAAAACTGATCAGTTTATAGTATTTGTTTCATCAGTTTGTTTTCATATTTCTTCCAACAGCAGTGTCCCTATGGATAAAATCTTTCGCCGGGATTCTGACCTGACTTGTTTGCAGAAAGTAAGCTGGTTTCATTTTAATTGGTTCTATTGTTCATGGATTCTAAAGCTATTCATCTTGATGTGTTTTCCCATGATGCCAGATGCTTTGTGGATACATTTTCTGTGTATTTCTTTATTGCTTTTTCCTTTCCAAAATTAATTTCTAAGAGATCATTAGTAATGCGTTTTGTTGCCCACACTTGCATATAGAAATAATACTATTCTAGAATAAATTTGTGTTGGCCGATAAATTTCTTAGCAGATTAACGTACACAATGGAGAACATTTTTCTGATTTTATTAAATTCAGAAGCGCCATGTTTCCATTTAGGTTTAACAATTGATCATTTTCAAGAACAGTATTACAAATCTAATAGTTACATTTAAGTAGTCATTTTATTGAACTTTCTGGTAGGATATAAGAGTCCTGAGTTCTTTTATTTCACTTCTTGTTTCCATGAGTATAGTTAAAGACCAGTATGGCAACACCTTTTTTTTTTCTTGGTAGCAATTTGAGAATAGAAAATTTAAACATACTAAGTTTCTTTTTAATAGTTTTTACCCCCTTCTATTAAAGCCACTTTCTCTTTGTTCTTTTGGAAGATTAATATGCATATTTTTTAGGAAACAGACTCTATCTCGCATCCTAATTTTGAAATAGTAGAGTCCTGTGTATGTACACAGATTTTTATTCTACAGGATTATTTTGCTTTGTAAATGTAACTACTAAAAAAAAAGAAGCAAAGTCACAAATTTGTCCAAAGTAGAAAGCATCACACTTAATATCTCAGGTTTGTGTCTTCATACAAAATCATAAAGGAACTAGCCTAAACATTTCTCAACAGTGACTTCTACACTTTGGCTGTATGATTATTGATCATAAATTTATCTTAAACCACGTTTAAGGAGACTTTCTCATTTGCATATTAGAAAATGTGAGATTTGGAAAGGGATACAATAATGATAGTAATGCAAACCCTCTTATACTTTTTGTGTATTTTAAATATAAAATTTTTGTTTTCAACTAGCTTTTGGAGTGTCTGAGGAAAACTCTGAGCAAAGTGACTAACTGCTTCATTGCTGAAGAATTCTTAACTCAAATAGAAAATTTATTCCTTTCCAATTATAAAAGCAAGCAAGAGAATGGAGTAGCTGAAGAGGACTGTGCTGTGGGTGCAAAGGAATTGTTAATGTAATTATTTTAAAGGAAGACCTTTTAATCTTGACACAGTAGATCCTTCTTGAAATTATTGTAATTTAGCTAATAGTGGCACAACTTTAATATTTTTCCTCTAGTTCACAAAATCCAAACTTTGCCACATAAATCCTATGACACTTGTTTTCACACAGTGATTGTCAGAGTGTGGTGTGAAGCAGGGTCTGCTGCAGTCTGCGGTCCTTCCCCCCCCCGCGCCCCGCCACCAGCCAGTGAGTGCTGCAGGAGACTTTGAGGGGCTGTCTGCTTTTTTGTTGTATTCAGGTTGATAAATGCAATATCTCTAATATTTATTTCTCCCCAAACTAGTCATTCTACTCTCGGTACCTCACATCTGTGTCTCATTAGGAACACTTCCATTTTTTCCATGTCTTTTGATGAGATTTTATTTATGGTTGCAAATGAGATGTGGATGGATGGTCACTGAGGTAATGAACATGGTTGAGAACTAGTGGTGTAATAAATCTAACAACACGCTGTAGGAGGCCAGGGGAGGCCTAAGGAGAAAATCTTAAACATAGAGAAGAGACCAATGGAGAGAATCAAATTGCCAGTTTTTCATTATAGATATTTGTTTCCATTTTATTTTACAGCAATAATACTACAGGCTGTGCCATTTTCTCAGCTAGCTGAAACATTTAATATGGATTTTGGATACATAAAATAATTAGCTTCAACTATATGTCCACTTACTATGTGTGATAAAACCTCATTTAATTGGAACACAGATAATCATAACTCTCAAACTAGATTTTTTTTTTCTACTACCTGCTATCAGGAGAAAGAGGCAAATTTTAATAATGCTTAAATATTAAATCAGAGATTTAATTTTAAAAACAAAAAAGCCTTCCAGGACATATTACATATATAGTCCAGTTTCATAGACTTTCTAAATGTAGAATAGAAGTGAGCAAAACTTTTTATGTAAAGGGACAGTTAGTCAAAAACTTAGGCTTTGCAGGTCACATACTGTCTCTATCAGACATTCTTTGTTGTATCTTTTTTACAGTCCTTTAAAAATGTAAAACCATTCTTATTACCTCATGAGCCTCACAGAGAATGGGTTGCTGGCCATTATCTTCCAACCTCTGCTCTAGAGAATTACAAACATTTATAATTTATTTTCAGGTATATGAACCTGAGACACTGAAAGGCCTTATTTACATCATCTTCAAACAACAACAAAACTTAAAATTATGATTTACATTTAAATATATTTTCAAGTAAAATTAGCAGTCATGCTGCCTGATTTACTCAGATAGATTTGAGTTTATTTCTGTGAGCCATAGAACTGATTTACACCCATTCCCCAAGCACTCTTACTAATAACAGTTTTATTACACCTTATCTGGATATGATTCTGTATTTTTACCTTTTTTGGTTGTAACCATTAGCCATGGAAGAATATGGCAGTGTCTGAGGGAGCAGTGAGCCAGTTCTAGATGGCCTACATCTTGGCTCAACCCTGTGACTTGGGGGTGGGGGTGGAGGGTAGGGGATATAAGTTGACCTCTGAACCTAAATTCTTGTGTAAATGAGGTCTAAGTTATCTTCCTAACAACCTTCCAGGTCTAAAATGCATTTCTTCTATATGTAGTTAGAATAAACAATGAAACATAACTTATAACACAATTACCTTTGGGATTTGGGACCGGGGGTGGTAAGAGCTGCAGACCAAACATCAGGAAACCCGAGTCCTCATCCTCATCCTAATTTTGTTATCAGCTTTGCTCTGTAGCAGTGATAACATCACATAATCTGTCTGGACCTCAGGCTCTTCACCTGTAATCCACGGGTCTAAATTTTATGACTTCGTTTTTCCTTCCAAGCACAGAAAGTCTGCAATTCTGTAAAAGGTAGTAATTGATTCCTTTGTAGTCTTCCTTTTGACATGTTTTCCTCATTGTACATGAGGAACACATCCTAGAAGTTGGTATGAATTAGCTCTTGATTGACATTTCCCTATAATAATGATTAATTTGGGTGATAGAAAATAATGGAAATTGTTAAAAATTCTGTTCTCAAATCTGGGTCCCCTGCATGCCGGTAGTTAACCATATTTACTAACCTAAGCCATACCATGAGGAACTCAAAGATGGTAATCCTCAGAGTTTAGAGTTTGGAGAGCACAATTTTCTAAATAATATTTACTGAGTGTTTTTTTCTGATGATAGATATATCTCAAAATATTTTTTAAAGAACAGAAACATAAATAAAAATATATAAATCTTATTATCTAGAAAACCACAGGTAACATTTTAGTATAAATTCTTCCCCCTTTTTTTTTCTTGGACCATGCAATTTTTTTTTTTTTTAAAGATTTTATTTATTTATTCGAGAGAGAGAGAGAGAGCAAAGTAGGCAGAGAGGCAGGCAGAGGGAGAGGGAGAAGCAGGCTCCACACTGAGCAGGGAGCCTGATGCGGGGCTCGATCCTGAGATCATGACCTGAGCCGAAGGCAGACGCTTAACTGACTGAGCCACCCAGGCACCCCACAATTTTAAAGATTTTATTTACTTATTTGAGAGAGAGAGTGCAAGAGCATGAACACAGGGGGCGGGGCAGAGGGAGAAGCGGACTCCCCGCTGAGCAGGGAGCCTGGGATCATGACCTGAGCCCAAGGCAGACGCTTAACCAACTGAGCCACCCAGGTGCCCCTTGGACCATGTAATTTTATCTGTGGTATTTTCCTCCCCTCCTCCCTTGTACATTCTCCCTGTTTCCTTTTTTCTCTTATCGTATTCTTAAAACATTTTTACCACTGCAGGTGCCCACATTCCTGTCACTGCCAACTTGGGCTACTTAGGGTAGTCAGAGCTAGGGCCTTGGAGAAGCGCAGAAGTCTGGAACTGAGGGGCAGTGTAATATAGGAGGTTCAGGAGGCAGAGACCCAAAGGGAAAACCTACCTCTGGTATTATTTACAGGAGTGGAGACAGGACCTGAAAACACCCAGATCTCTTCATCCTGATTCGATTCTTAAGATTGCACAATGATAATAAAATAATGAACTTAATTTTTTTTTCTTTTCCTGCTTGGCTAGTGGAAATTGACACTAGTACTTCTCCAATATTAGACTTAGCTCTTTTAAAAATCTAATCCCAAAGTAATTCAAAAAAGAAAAATCAGTGGAATAAGATCAACAAGATCAGACTCTCCTTACCCCTCCATTATTTTCTTGAACTATTTTCAAAGCCACATTAGGTAGGACTTAGACAATTTTGCCTTCTTGGATGTCTTCTTTCAGAAAATATTAAAAATTCATTACAACTGCATTTGTATAAAATGAATCTAATATTGTATATTTTCCTTCTGAAAACTTCCTATTGTGTTTTTTTCCTTCTGAATTTAAAAGAAATGAAAACATTTTTATGGGCCTTCAAAGTATTGTGGGCCGGAGGCACGTTGTCTGAAAGCCAAGGTGGCCCTGCCTGTATTCTGAAGGGTATCGCTGGAAAAATGGCAGTCATGACCCTGTCCCCTGTAAAACCTATCTCACAAACCCTAGGACCGCTTTGCCACCCCAGCCAAGAACGTTGCAATGCCTGGGGCTTTAGAGCTCTAGACTTGAACTTCGTTCTTCATTGACCTGACCACAGTTTAGGAGTGTTGCTTGGAAACAGTCATCCTCAAAAAAAAAAGATAGACAGTGATTAGTTTTAGCTTTCAGATAGATATTTTTGTTCTGACCCGTAATTTATAGTTTTGAAACTCATGCCACATATCCTACCACCCCTATTCTTTCATTTCCCTCAAGCCCCGCTCCCTACTTTTTCCCCACTCCCTCTACTTACCTCTCAGAATGTAGGTACAAGATGGTTCATTTAGCATTTAGTAAAAGCAAGGCCGGAAGGATAGAGTTGAACAGATCCATTCGTATTTTATGGAAGTCGATTAATGCTGCCCCAGCCTTTTCTCCAAAACTCTCCTCCCCCACCGAAGTGGAGTGAGGTCAGTAATGTGCAGACTGATCAGGGTCAGAACCTCCGCAGCTGCCTGGGCAGCAGGGCAATGGCAGCCTCGACAAGCCAGCCTGAGCAGGCCTCCTGCTCTTCAGTTTGCCTTCTTGTTTGTCTTGCTGGGTCCTAACGAGGTGAGCTGGAGGACTTGGGGTAAGTGCTGTAGGCAGGATGCTCCAGGATTGATGCTTTGCACAAGGACAAGGAGACCTAGGGACACCTGACCACCTGACATATAGCTCCCTATCCTCGGGTCAGCAACAGGCATTCGGTGGATGAATTTCTCAGAAATTAAGTAAGGGTACCCAAATTTTGTATTTTTTCACCTACACTGTCCTCTACCAATAACAAGAGACTTAAGTCCAGAGTCATACATCGTGGTATTTAGGAAAAGTTAACTTCTAACTTTTCCTCCAAGCACAAAGGAAAAAGCACATTTTGGTCATCATCTCTATCAGGATTAATACAAAATTTAACAGATTTGATCAGTATCCCCAGTTTACCAGCTGTTAAATAGTTTTCTTAAAAATTAAGATCATATTTTACAATACTTTCAGAAAATCACTGTGGAGAATAATGTCATATACTTTAACTTACTCAATTCCTGACCTTTTCTTAAATGGTTTTATGTGTGCTATTCTTCCAAACTGTTTTCTCTGTTTTTTCATTTGCCCTGTAATTTGTGCTTTCCAGCTTTTTCTGAATCTTGTAAGCCACCTTAAATTCTTTCTGGAACAAGGCAGAGAATAAATATGTTAGCCCCCTAAATCAGGAGAAAATAAAAATTTCTCAGAGAAGCTGTGATTATACCAGATGTTGTATACCAAAGTAAATTCGAGAAGGTAAAATTAACTCATGATATCTGGGTTTTTTTGTATTTTCTCCCTTTGAATATATTTATGAATATATTCATAAGAACTTTAATTTCAGGGAAAAATGCCTTATGTGCTGTCTTTGAAGTTCCCTAAAGTAGTCTCTTAGGATTTAAGAAGAATGTTAAATATGATTTCATAGTTTGTACTCCTGTTTCATAGGTTGCCACAGAACATTTGTTTTGAGCTATGAATTATAAAATAGTATTTAGAATCCAGCATGATTTAAATAGACTGGTCATAGATCTTTAAATTTGTGGATTTGACATGTAAATTGTAAATTGTGTATTATGTATAAGTATATAAGTTTACTGTGATTATTGATAAACCTGTTGCTGTTGTTTTCCCCAAATGTTATTAGTGTTTATGGATTTCTTTTATTACTTTGAATTTTGAAATGTTCTGTAATGGAATATAATGACTTAAACTATTTTGTACATTTAAATATGGTGCCACATTGTCTAAATCTATATTAAAGAATATTGTAAATATTAATGTTTATACAGTTATGAAAGCTTTTCCTTGAAATGGTTGAATTCTTCTTCCTGTACTAAACAATGACATAAAATATCTGATTTTAAGCTTTGAGATTTTAGCTTGTAAAAATTAAAGGGAAACATTCTGAAGATTCTATATAAATAAAATTTTGAAAAAAGTGGTGAATCATTTGGTCTTTTTCTAAATTTTTAGCAGCATACACACTGAATTGCAAATATGCCCCATTAATTCAAACATTGGTTTAGTGTCTATTATGTTGAGCATTGTAGGGGACACAAAGATGAGTAAATCTTGATTTTTTCCGACAAGAAGCCCATTACCTAATAAGTAAGTGGGAAACACATAAAAGCCAACATAAGACACTAAGATACAAACTGGAATTGATTATAAATGCCTATAAAAGACTTCAAGGGTAATAGGTGTTTTTTTTTTTTCCTCTTAAAAGATTTTATTTATTTATTTGATAGAGACAGAATGAGAGAGAAAACATGAGCGGGGTAAGGGGCAGGAGGAGAAGCAGACACCCCTCTGAGCAGGGAGCCCAACGTGGGGCTCCATCCCGGCACTCCAGGATCATGACCTGAGCCGAAGACAGATGCCTAACCTACTGAGCCACCCAGGTGCCCTGGGAATAGGTGTTTAGACAAATGAGAGATCATTCTCTAGAATGTGAGAGGTGAGATTGATTTCTTGGAAGAGATCTACCTTTAAACATCCTAGCAGGGTTTGGTTAAGTGACATTTGGAGAGAGATGTTCCAGAGAGAAGTGTCCTTAGCACAGGTATGGAGATAAGGAGTGAGAAATACTTGAGAATGGTGAGTCTTTGGCCAGAGGGTAGAGTATATGGAGATGCTCATTAGGTAGTTCACACTGAGTCAACTAAGGATACAGAAGGTATAAAATAAGAGAAAATCTCACCTTAAAATCAGAATTAACTCATTGACTGGTCTTTAACTTTCCAGTCTTTTTTCCTAGCAAATACAAAACCTCTTGAAGGAGGACTTTTAACTACTTCCATTCTGACCTCAGTCTGTACTTTCTAATTGATGTTGTCCTTCATTGCTTATCTCTTTTTTTTTTTTTTTTTAAGAATTTATTTGACAGAGAGAGACACAGCGAAAGAGGGAATACAAGCAGGGGGAATGGGAGAGGGAGAAGCAGGCTTCCCGTGGAGCAGGGAGCCCAATGCGGGGCTCGATCCTAGGACCCTGGGATCATGACCTGAGCCGAAGGCAGACGCTTAACGACTGAGCCACCCAGGCGCCCCCATTGCTTATCTCTTAACTCGGGCAAAAGACCATGTGGGTAAAGCATCCCATGATGAGGACCAAAACTACCCCTCAAATAATAGGGACTGCCCTGACATCAACAAGACCCCACATGATTGACCCCAAGATGATGATTGTCTTGACCCTTACTGCCCACCTGCTCATACCTACCCACTTTGCTCCACATTTTCCTGATAGACACCTAGAAGTATTTTCAGCACTTTGGAGACAGACTTTGAGCCGCTTGTCTGCTGTCTTCCACGTGGTGGCCTCATTGAAATAAACTCCTTTCTGGTTTCACCACCAGGGCTCTTGCACCCCTGTGCCCCAGTTGCAATTTTCTTTTAAAAGATTTTATTAGAGCACAAGCCAGGGCGAGAGGCAGAGGGAGAGGCTGAAACAGACTCCCCACTGAGCAGTGAGCCCGACGTGGGGCTTGATCCCAGGACCCTGGGATCATGACCTGAGCCGAAGGCAGATGCTTAACCATCTGAGCCACTCAAGCGCCCCGCCCCCACAGTTGCAATTCTTGGCAAGCCAGCCAGGAGCTGTATTTTCAGTTTGCCCAGCCCCCTGGGGATTCTGTAAGTGGGTCCTGGCAGCACGCCGGGCTCAGCTGTTTACGGAGCCATTGGCTGTGGTAGGTCAGAATCAGCTACTCATGGCGAGTCCACCCGATGCGGAGGACAGGAAGTCCTGGGCAGCTGCTGAAACCTATTTTGTTGTGAGGACTTTCTTGCTTGCCCTGAACTGCATCGACTGCCTTCACTGCATTTGGGGAAGCAGAAGATACGAGTTGAAGAATCAGTGGGCCCTAGAAACTTGTCTCCTGGTAAGTTCCCCCCATAAGTGCACACTGGATCCCATCCTTCCTTAGTTCCCTGCTGTTGGTTCAAAAGAACCATTTGTTTCGGGTTTTCATAACTTATTTGTCCAGGCTTGTGTCACTTGAGTTGTGGCAGGGGCTGTTCTAATTTGTGAAGGTACCATTGGGAAAAGGAATAGATGTGAGGGAGATTAACGGGTGTGTGTGTGTGTGTGTGTGTGTGCAGATCTCTGTTGGAGAGAGTGTGTGTGTGTGTGTGTGTGTGTGTGTGTGTAAGATGGGAGATGCTAACTATCCCCTCCCAAAGCCCTCTGGGGAGAGTACTGGCTGACTGGTCTACATTTAGTTATAACCCTATGACTAAGAAGATGATTTTTTTATTGCAACACTGCCTGGCCCATGTATGTGAACCTCAGAGGAAGGATGGCCACTGAATAGGCTCTCTGGTATTCCTTCCTCTCATTCAGTTACCTCCAAATGGGTGGGTGGGGAGGGTTGGTTTGGCTCTCTTATTTTGTTTAGGAAGCCGTTCGGTTCAGTTGGTGAAGCTCTGACTTTCGGGGAAGAATGAATGCTAACACAGGTATTCTGAGCTTCATTTAGTCATAATCGTGTTTCTTCTGTGTCCTTCCTGAACTTTTACCTAGGAAGATGGGGAATACGCCTTCTGTTCCCAAAGAAAGTGCATTAGGACATATTTTGAATAATTGGTGCAAAGGGCTTAAAATCAACGAGAGAAACAGCCTTTTTAGCAGTAAGTAGGGAGAGAAAGGAGACAGACTAAGGAGTGTCACTCCAAACTTTGAATCTACCTCCAGCCTTGTCAGTGGCGCCCTTGCCCCTCGCCCTGTGTCTGCACCCTACCTGTGCCTCTCACACAGCTGGCCCCTCTGCCATCCTCCGTGCCCCCAGCACGATCACTCCTGCTCCTCCTGCCATCACTATTTTGGAGCGAAAGCACCCCAAGCTGTCAGGCCACCTCCTTATGGGGTTCAGACTGGAGCACCTCCCAAGTCAGCAGGAAGGGGCCCAGGGGCTCAAACTGCCCACTTCAGATTACCCCGCAAGGGCCCCAGGTAAAATTCACAGTGGAGAATAGACTGACTTGCATTGAACACAGGTGTAACAAATCAGCATCAAAGCTAATTTAACTTTGCTGGTTTAATTAAAATAGGCATGCCTTTTGGAGTTATCAACATCAAATATAATACAGAGAATCAACTTCTCTTCTGCCTGAACTAAATTCATGTTTTATCTGTTGCAATTTGACTTAAAATGATGGTTGACTTTGTGTGTTTCATAAAGCTTTCATGGGTAATTGTGAAGAGCAAGTAGGTTGACAAAAGGTTTATAGTTTTCAACATCTTTGGTAACCTAAAACTTTGAAGATTTGCTAGGTTAAATAATAAATTGGTTTGAACTCAGTGGATAGCTAAATCTTTTCCAAATAAGATAAAATACTGAAACATTCATTACTAAACATAGCTTTATCTGCTTTTGGCTTCTTATTACAGAGAAACCAAAGACACTGCATTCAGCTTTATGCTTAATTGAAAGATTATATTATGGAGAAGCACATGTTTCTAGAAATTAGGAAATGTATTCATAAACTTCTGATCTAAAGAATTCTGGTATAATAGTACACAGTCGGTCACTACTTAGTTTTCACTGGAAACTAAGGTTTCTAAGTAAAAATTCTGATAAACATAATTAAGACTGCCAGAAAATTATAAAGAAAGCAACTTTGTATGCAAGGAAAGTAAGCTATGATTTTGATAAGAAAGGCATGAGGAACGGGAATACATTTTTGTTGAAAAGAAAGTAATTTTGTCCTAAAATGAGACTGGTTATTTAGAGATAGAAAGGACAAAATCTGAATGAAAAAGAATGTTGTAGAGGGTTTGTGAAGGGGAATCTCTGGAAAAGAAATTTATGTGTGGCCAGGACTGAGTTTGAAATGAATGAATTTTTAAAAATACACTAGTATAAGACTGGGATTTGGTTTTTCTCTCGGTTAAAAAGACAAAGTTCTCTTGGATTGTTGGTCTGTTCTTGATAAGAAATTGTAAACAGTTTTTTTCTTTATCTGCCTAGAAAACCAAAGTTTCTATGTTGTCTTTATCAGGTTGTTAATTCCTTTAAAAAAGTTAAAACGTCTCTGTATTGAAAGAGCTACATTTTGCTAACAACTGTGTAACCTTTTGTATTTATCTTTACAATCTCTCTCTTATTGCCACCTTGGTTAAATAATTAAATATTGAATTTTATAATTCTCTGAATCCTATGTAAGCATGTGCTTTAAAACCTTCTGAGGTTTTTAACAAACTTCCCAAGCTTCAAATTCTAAAGGGAGTCTTTTTGACTAATGAGGCTTGTTTATTTGGTATGTTAAGTTACATGGAAACATTGTTAAACAAATGGTGATAAACCTTCCTGGGTTATATTATATGGGTAAATGCTATAACTGTTCTAGAAAGTATATGAAATCCCTGAAGTTTTAATAGGTCCTGATCTAAGGTCACTTGACATTCTAAATATTGAAATGCGTGTCACAGAAGTAAGCGGACTTCCTCGTCAACTGCATTATAATGAACTCTCATCAGATCTTTAACCATGCCCATGGTTGGGTCTTTTGTCATTTATAGTTCTTGTTCTGATGCTCTTGCAAACTGTTTCATCCTCAAGGAGATGCATGAAAAGGACTTTTGACAAATACAGTTTTCTGATACCTTTAAGATGGTAAAACTAAGCTGAGTAAGAATTTCCAAAACTAGAGGGAAAGCTGCATTCAACCAGAACAAGAATTAGTAACATGGGACTGAATGAATTGAGGAAGATGATTATTGTTTTTGTGACTCTTGTTTGAAACATTGCTGATTCTCTAATGTTTGCTCTCCCAGATTCCAGA